TAAAGTGCTGTTGAATTTTCTTGAAGGCCTTCTCTGCATCTATTAAGATAATCATGTGGTTTTTGTCTTTGATTCTGTTTATGTGGTGAATTACGTTTAAAGACTTGTGTATGTTGAACCAGCCTTGCATCCCCAGGATAAACCCTACTTGATCGTGATGGATACGCTTTTTGATGTGCTGTTGCAATCGGTTGCAATCGGTTTGCGAGTATTTTATTAAAAATTTTTGCGTCTATGTTCATCATGGATATTGGCCTGAAGTTTTCTTTTTTTGGATGACTCCTATTTTATTTCTGAAGTTGATGATTTGTGTCTCTCTTAATTAACCTGGTTTATCAATTTTATTGGTCTTTTAAAGGGATGAGTTTTTTGTTTTTCTTTATTTTTCTGTTGTTTTCCTGTTTTAAATTTCATTGATTTCTGCTCTAATTTTTATTTTCCTACTTTAGGAAAATAAATTGTTTTAGGCCTAAATTGTTTTTGTTTGTCTAGTTTCCCAAGGTGGGAGCTTACCGATTTTAGATTTCTTTTTTTTTTTCTTTTTGAGATGGAGTTTCACTCTTTTTCCCAGGGTAGAGTACAATGGCATGACCTCTGCTCACTGCAACCTCCATCTCCCAGGTTCAAGTGATTCTCCTGCCTCAGCCTCCCGAGTAGCTGGGATTACAGGTACCTGCCCCCATGCCCAGCTAATTTTCATATTTTTTAGTAGAGACAGGGTTTCACCATGTTGGCCAGGCTGGTTTTAAACTCCTGACCTCAGGTGATGCGCCTGCCTCAAACTCCCAAATTCTTTTTCAATATATGCATTTTTAATGCTGCCATTGTCCCTTAAACACTGCTTTTACTGCAGCTCACAAATCTTGCTTAAATTTTAAGATTACTATCAAGTTTCATGATCTTTTTTTGTTCTTTGTATTTCTTATTTATGGCTTCCTGTTCCTGTTTCATGGTTGCATTGCTTTTTTGTCTCTGAGAATATTAATTAGCTTCTTTGAAGTTTTATTCTCCCTCCTGCATTGTCTCTTCCTCCAAATTCCTTTTTTTTTTTTTTTTACAACCTCTGCCTCTTGGTTTCAAGTGATTCTCCTGCCTCAGTTACCTAACTAGCTGGTATTACAGGTGTGTGCCACTACACCCAGCTAATTTTTGTACTTTTAGTAGAGATGGGGTTTCCCTATGTTGGCCAGGCTGGTCTCAAACTCCTGGCCTCAAGCAGTTCACCTGCCTCGGCCTCCCAAAGTGTTGGGATTACAGGCATGAGCCACCTTGCCTGGCATCCAAATTCCTTTTGTTTGTTTGGTATCTGTGTTTTTGTGTACTCTATGTGTATGGCATAACCACGGTATTAAAACTGAAACAAAAATGGTAACATGCTTCATTGAATTCAGATGTCATACCAATGTTATTGAAAATTCTTCTGAAGTGTACCTATTAGTTTTAAGTATGTTGCCAGCATAATTGTTGTTCATTTGTAAGTGACCCTTTCTCTCTGGCTGTTCTTTCTTTGGGGTTTAGTAATTTTACAATAGTGTGTCTAAATGTGGATTTCTCTTTGCATTGTTTGGTTTAATATGTTACCTGTATCTGTTGAGTTGACTTTTTCATCAATTCCGGAAAAACTCACAGCATTATCTTTTCAAATATAGTTGTTCCATGCTGTCTTTTCTCCTTGTAGTACTCCATTCTCATTTTGTCATCAATATCTTTTAACCATTTTTATATTTTTCTCTTTCTCATCCCTCTGGGCATTATTTCAGATAATTTCTTCCGATAGGTCTTCATTATCATTCAGTTCTCTCTTAAGCTCTGCCTAATTTTCAAGCCCATTTTTAAAGTATCTCTTTTTTTCCCCCAGACCTCAGGTGTCCTTAGTTGATGGCACACAATCATAATTACGTCCTGTGAAGCTCTCTCATTTGTTTGTTGTCTTTTACCCCGATTGATTTTGCATTCCTAGTCCCCATGACAGGTGGCCAAACAGATGTGTTTAATAATGTATATTCAGGCCGGGCGCGGTGGCTCAAGCCTGTAATCCCAGCACTTTGGGAGGCTGAGGCGGGTGAATCACGAGGTCAAGAGATGGAGACCATCCTGGTAAACATGGTGAAACCCCGTCTCTACTAAAAATACAAAAAATTAGCTGGGCATGGTGGCGTGTGCCTGTAATCCCAGCTACTCAGGAGGCTGAGGCAGGAGAATTGCCTGAACCCAGGAGGCGGAGGTTGCGGTGAGCCGAGATCGCGCCATTGCACTCCAGCCTGGGTAACAAGAGTGAAACTCCCTCTCAAAAAAAAAAAAAAAAAAAATGTGTATTCTTTTGTTTGTATTTATTAATACAAATTTGTACAGTTTTATTGTATTTTTTAAAAAGTAACAGTTTGCAATGGATTGGAAGTATAAGAAAAATTTTTACCATAGGTAATTTGAGGAATGTTGCTGTACAGTGTTTCACCTTCTAGATTAGCTTAGTTGATTGCTTTCTTTTTATGTTACTTAACTTGTCCCTTATGCTTGAATTTCCTGTAAACATGCAGTTAGTTTGACTAGATTCAGATTCAATTTTTTTAGGCAGTAATACTTTTTAGGTGACACTGTTCTTGCACTTTTATTGATGGTGAAATTGATTGTTGGGTTCAGATGTGTTGACTCGATCCCACCATTTTAAAGCTCATAAATCTTTTCCTCTAACCTTTTAAACATCCATTTATAGCCATTGCCTAGTCTATTTATTGTATTAGGGATTATGAGGAGATGAATTAAAAATTTTTAATATCCTTCTGCATTTATTAACTGGAATTCTTATCTAAAGAACTTTACATCAGTAATTATTTTGTTGTCATATTTTGTAATTAAAGGGAAAGATAAATTCTTTTTTATTTAATGACAAAGCTTATTGAAATACAACAGAGAAGGCTTCATCACATCATATACCATGCTCATGAATTGGAAATTTCAATATTTTTAAGGATAGTGTTCTCCAAATTGATACACACACCCACACACACACACACACACACACACACACATGTATGTATGTATTTTAAGTTAAATTTAAAGTTCTGGGATACACGTGCAGGACATGCAGGTTAGTTACATAGGTAAACATGTGCCATGATGATTTGCTGCACCTATCAATCCATCACCGAGATATTAAGCCCTGCATCATTAGCTATTTATCCTGATGCTCTCCCTTTACCCACCACCCCTCCTGCATCAGGCCCCAGTATGTGTGGTTCCTTCTCCCTGTGTCCACATGTTTTCATTGTTCAGCTCCCACTTATAAGTGAGAACATGTGGTGTTTGGTTTTCTGTTCTTGCATTAGTTTGCTGAGGATAATGGCTTCTAGTGTTCTGCAAAGGACATGATCTTGTTCTTCTTTATGGCTGCATAGTATTCCATGGTTTTATATGTGCCACATATTCTTTATCCAGTCTATCATTGATGGGCATTTGGGTTGATTCCATGTCTTTGCTATTGTGAATAGTGCTGCTATGAACATATACGTGCATGTTTCTTTATAGTAGAATGATTTATATTCCTTTGGGCATATACCAGTAATGGGATTGCTGTGACAAATGGTATTTCTGGTTCTAGATCTTTGAGGAATCGCTACGCCGTCTTCATGTAAAAGTGTTCCTATTTCTCCATAGCCTTGCCAGCTTCTGTTGTTTCTTGACTTTTTAATGATTGCCATTCTGACTGGCCTGAGATGGTATCTCATTGTGGTTTTAATTTTCATTTCTTTAATGATTAGTGATGTTGAGCTTTTGTTCATGTTTGTTGGCCACATAAATATCTTCTTTTGAGAAATGTCTGTTCGTGTCCTTGGGTAGGATAAATTCCTGATTTTTTTTCCCTTAGTTGATCAATTTTCAGAGTAATTGGTTAGTACCCTGCTAACCCTCCAATGAGTGGTATGTTTTGTTTTTGTTTTTAGTATCAATTGATCTTTTGTTTCTTTAGAAAAATCTATTTGATTTGTGTTCAGTCCTTTGCAGTCTTCATTCATTTGATGCTCACTTGTCCCCTTTAAGCCAGTGCCCTTCAACTTGGCTTTTACTTTTGATATTATCCCATTAGTTATTGACAGATTCCTGTGAGGTTTCTCAGGCTTATTTGGTAGAGTTTCCGCCCCAGACCAGATATTCGTCTACTTTTTTCATCTTTTCATAAAACTAACTTTTAGCTTTCTTGTGCCTCTCTCTTATATGCTTGTTTTCCATTTCTTTAATTTCTGCTCTTAGTTGATTAGTTTTCAGTCTTTCCTCTTTTGTAGTATAAGTGTCTAAGGTGGCTGGGTGCAGTGTTTTATGCCTGTAATCCCAGCACTTTGGGAGGCTGAGATGAGCAGATAACTTGAGGTCATCGAGACAGCCTGGCCAGAATGGTGAAACCCCTACTCTTCTGAAAAAAAGAAATACAAAAGTTAGCTGGGCATGTTGGCATGTGCCTGTAGTCCCAGTTACTCACGAGGCTGAGGCAGGAGAATCGCTTGAACCTGGGAGGTGGAGGTTGTAGTGAGCCGAGATTGTACCACTACACTCCAGCCTGGGTGACAGAGTGAGACTCCATCTCAAAAAATAAAAAAGCATCTAAGACTCTAAGTATCTTGAGAAGCACCACTTTTACTGAATCCCAGAGTTTTTCATGTACAGTATTTTTATGTGTATGTTGTTTATATTATTTTGAAATGTTGTATTTATAAGTAGTTTTAGCTTTCCATTATGAATCCTTCTTTGACCCATGAGTTATTTAGGTAAATGTTTTAAAATTTATAATAGCTTATATGTGCAAATATGTTGTTAGAGTTGGTTTTTGTGTCATTTTTATATATACAGGGGCAATTTCCCCAACTAAATTGTAGATTCCTTAAAGTAGCACTCTTAAATTTTATTTCTGTGTCAATTTCTTGACTGTGTTTTCTGGCATGGAATAGATGGCATAATATTTATGTTACAGAGTTAAATGAAATATTATCTTACTTTTTATTTTTTAGGCAAACAAGAATTAAATTCTGAATAAGTCTACAGGTAGGATGGACACTTATTTTAAAGCAGCTGTCAGTGACTTGGACAAACTACTTGATGATTTTGAACAGAACCCAGGTTTGTTGATTTTCCATTTTTGCCACTAATGGAATTTTTAAATATCTATAGTTAAGTTATCTCAGGTATAGAGTAATATTAGTAAAATTTTCTTTCAATTTTGGTCACATTGTTATCTTCTGCTAAAAGTTCATTTATTTCGTAATAAGATGTTAGTTGATTCTTAGACTGAATGGGACCCATAACCAGAAACAGAAGTAAGGAAACTAGAAGGTTTTTTTTCTGGATTCAAATTAGCTCTAAGGAACACATTTCTTTTCTTTTTATTTTTGAGACAAGGTCTCACTCTGTCACCCAGGCTGAAGTACAGTGCCACAATTAGAGCTCACTACAGTCTCAACCACCTGGGCTCAAGCAGTCCTCCCACCTCAGCCTCCAAGTGGGACCACAGATGCATGCCACCATGCTGGCTAATTTTTCAATTACTTTTAGAGATAGGATCTTCCTATGTTGCCCAGGCCTGTCTCGAATTCCTGAGTTCAAGCGACCCTCCTGCCTCAGCCTCCCAAAGTGTTGGGATTATAGGCATGAGCCATCTGCTTGGCCCTAGAAAAGCCTTTAAAACCAACATATGAGCAAGCTAAAAGCTACTTGAGAGTTCTACATAAATTGGTATTTCATTAATATGAGAGATGGTATTCATTCTCTCTCTCTCTCTCTCTCTCTCTCTTTCTCTTTCTTGGAGTTTCACTCTTGTTGCCAGGCTGGAGTGCAATGGCGCGATCTTGGCTCACCACAACCTCCGCCTCCCAGGTTCAAGTGATTCTCCTGCCTCAGCCTCCAGAATAGCTGGGATTACAGGCATGTGCCACCGTGCCTGGCTAATTTCGTATTTTTAGTAGAGATTGTGTTTCTCCATGTTGGTCAGGCTGGTCTTGAACTCCTGACCTCAGGTGATTTGCCCACCTTGACCTTCCAAAGTGCTGGGATTACAGGCCACTTTAGTTTGGTTTTTATAGTGCCACTAAGTTTCTTTTCTTTTTTTTTTTTTTTTTTTTTTTAAGAGACAGGGTCTTGCTCTGTCACCCTGGCTGGAGTGTAGTGGTGCAGTCATAGCTCACTGCAGCCTTGAATTCCTGCACTCAGGCGATCCTCTCACCTCAGCCTTCTGAGTAGCTGGGACCACAAGTGTGTGTTACCGTGCCGGGCTAATTTAAAAATGTGTATATTTTTTACAAATGGGGTCTCACTGTGTTGCTCAGGCTGGTCTTGAACTCCTGGTCTCAAGTTATCCTCCTGCTATGGGTTCCCAAAGTGCTGGGATTACAGTTGTAAGCCACCATGCCCAGCCATAACTAAATTATTTTGAGTGGAATTTTTTTATCACTTTATGACATCTACATTCAAAAGTAAAAACCAGAAAGTACTTTAAAGTCAAATAAAAATAGCTTTGATCTCTCTCCTGCTGCCTTGTAAAGAAGGTGCTTGCTTCTGCTTTGCCTTCTGCTATGATTTTAAGTTTCCTGAGGCCTCTACAGCCATGCGAAATTATCGGCTTCTTTTATCTGGATGAGGCTATGGCCACTAACAGCTCCAGATTCATAACTGCCACCTGAGAAATCTCCTTCTTCCTTCTGTCAAATTTGGAGTATGAGGAGAATGCCTTTAAGTGGCCCAGCTTGAAACAATCACATGTCCATCACCATGGACATAGTGTGTGATGCTACTACAATTGGCAACCTCAATTACAGCACCACAGGGGAATGAGGGTAGGATCCAGGTGATAGAAAAATGAACAAGTAGAAAGTCAACCTGAGGAGTCCTCCCAAACAAAGGAAAGATCAAGGAGATCAAATTACCAGAGCAACTATGCACAAGATCCAAGGACATTCATTTATGCAGTCACTTAATCATTTCTTGAACGCTTAAGTTTCAGGAAGTATTCTAAGCAATGGGAATAGAGTTCCAAATACCAATGTATGTAGAACTCTTTTTTTCTGACTAAGTATTCTAAGTCAGAAAAAAAGAGACAAGGTTCCTGCACTTGTGACACTTATTTTGTAGTTGATTGAAACAGCCAATAATCATAATCAAGGTAATTTCAGATAAAAATAAATGCTCTAAAGGAAATAAAAAAATAGTTTTGGAGGTTATTTCTCTTTTGCAAAAGAATAATCTATGGTCTTTTTGAAAAGTTTAATTTAGAAGTCTTGGGAAACATATGTTTAATAGTTTTTATTTGATTTGAGTCTCCCGAATAACACTGTTTCTCTATTTTAGATGAACAAGATTATCTTCAAGATGTACAAAATGCGTATGATTCTAACCACTGCTCAGTTTCTTCAGAGTTGGCTTCCTCACAGCTAACTTCATTGCTCCCAAAAGACCAACAATGCGCTAATAGTTGTGCCTCATCAGACATAAGCTATGAAACAAGTGAGAGTTCCCTGAATGAAAAAACACTCACGGGACCTACTACTATACAAAATGAAAAAAATGTAACAGGACTTGATCTTCTTTCTTCTGTGGATGGTGGTACTTCAGATGAAATCCAGCCTTTATGTATGGGACGATGTAGTAAACCTATCTGTGATCTGATAAGTGACATGAGTAACTTAGTTCATGCAACTAATAGTGAAGAAGATATTAAAAAATTACTGCCAGATGATTTTAAGTCTAATGCAGATTCCTTGATTGGATTGGATTTATCATCGGTGTCAGATACTCCCTGTGTTTCTTCAACAGACCATGGTAGTGATACTGTCAGAGAGCAACAGAATGACATCAGTTCTGAATTACAAAATAGAGAAATCAGAGGAATCAAAGAATTGGGTACAAAAGTAGATACACTTTCAGATTCCTGTAATTACAGTGGAACAGAAAATTTAGAAGATAAAAAGATCTCTAATCACTTAGAACCAATTGTTGATTTTAACACGTCATCTGCTTTGACTCAACAAAGTTCCAAAATGTTTGATGCCGAAGACAAACTACAACAGAAAAGCCAGCCATGTGAATTACTGAAAGATGATGGCTTAGTAAAGGAGGAAGTAGATGTGGAAGTCATAAATGCTGCAGAATGTTTAAAAGAAGAGGGCAAGACAAATGCTTTGTCCTGCAGCCCTCCAAAAACTGAAGATTTATGCTTAAGTGATTTAAATTCAAGAGTTGAAAATTTCAAATTACCTGACTTTTCCTTTCAGGAAGATAAGACTGTTACATTTATAAAACAATCTGCACAAGAAGACTCAAGAAATTTAGACCTTACAGATAATGAAATAATCCAAGATTCCTCTTCAGCTTTACATGTTTCAAGTGAAGATGTACTGTCCTCATTGTCCTGTCTTTCGGTATCTGGGACTGTGTGTGGATCACTAATTGAAAGTAAAGCACAGGGTGATTTTTTACCTCAGTGTGAACATAAAGATAATATACAAGATGCAGTGACTATACATGAAGAAATACAGAAGAGTGTTGCTCTAGATGGGGAACCATTCGAGGAGACTGATCTTTTGAAACAGGAAAAGTGTAAAAACATACTTCTTCAGCCATTCATTGAAGGGATGGAAAACAGAAAGGTAGATCCTGACCAGACAGTAATCAGAGTTGAGTCTTTGGATGGTGGTGACACCAATTCTACAGCTGTAGAAACTCAAGAAGTACTTTCTGGCACTAATGTCCCAGAGTCTTCTGATTGTCGTGAAGGTTTTATTAATACTTTTTCAAGCAATGTTATGGACGGGCAAGACTTAGATTACTTTAATATTGATGAAGGTACAAAAAGTGGCACACTCATTAGTGATGCTGAACTTGATGCCTTTCTGACAGAACAGTATCTTCAGACTACTAACATAAAGTCTTTCGAAGAAAATGTAAATGACTCTAAGTCGCAAATGAATCAGATAGATATGAAAGGCTTAGATAACGGAAATACCAATAATATATATTTCAATGCAGAAGGAGGAGCTATTGGGGAAGGTCACGGTATTAATATAATTTGTGAAACAGTTGATAAACAAGATACAATAGAAAATGGCCTTTCTTTAGGAGAAAAAAGTACAATTCTAATTGAACAAGGGTTACCTACCAGTAAGTCTGAGATTACAAATGAATTATCAGTCTCTGATATTAATAGTCAATCTGTTGGAGGGGCCAGACCTAAGCAGTTGTTTAGCCTTCCATCAAGAACAAGGAGTTCACAGGACCTGAATAAGCCAGATGTTCCAAATACAATAGAAAGTGAACCCAGCATGGCAGATATCATTGTTCCAGTCACTTGTACTATAGATTCTACAGCTGAGCCTCAGGTTAGCTTCAACTCTAATTACATCGATATAGAAAGTAATTCTGAAGGTGGATCTAGTTTTGTAACTGCAAATGAAGATTCTCTACCTGAAAACACTTGCAAAGAAGGCTTGGTTTTGGGCCAGAAACAGCCTACTTGGGTTCCTGATTCAGAAGCTCCAAACTGTATGAACTGCCAAGTCAAATTTACTTTTACAAAACGGCGACACCATTGTCGAGCATGTGGGAAAGTAAGTTATAAAAATCTTTAAGTCTTTTGTTCTTTTGAGACATTTTAAACAAATATAATGTGATAGAAAAGGCTGATTAACAGATAATTACAAGATTGAGTTAGTTTAAAATTAGTGGTTTTCACCTACCAGTCAGGAAAATATGTAAAGCAGTGTCATTTTGTAGATTGCTTGATCGTTGAATAAATGTTACATTATCAAGGGTATTAATTACATGCTGGGAAATGAGAAACAATTACTAATTTTTGTGAAATTTAAGAATATTTATTCTTATTTCTCTAATATTGACACATTAAATCTTCCAGATTTGGTCAGATTCCCCTTTGTCCTCAAATATTTGATTTCAAGACCAGTCTACAGCTAGTGTTGTGATCACTCCAGAGCAATTTGACTTGCACAACGTTCAGAATATTGAAGCTGACCTTGAGAGCTGACTGTCTGATAACAGTCAAGATAAAAAAGATTGTCTATAAACTGTAAGGATTACCGTTAGAAATCCTATAACATTTTTTATTCAGATTTTTCAGTAATACATTGGTTTCAGATCAGTCCTATTTTTTAGCAAAATAATATTTTACTTTAAAAAGTTTTAAATGAAGAACTACAGAGAACTTTTTAATATTATAAGCTTATTCATTAAAGATAGTTTTTGTTCCCTTTCTAGTGAACAGAATTGATTTAAGGAATTCTTATCGGAAATATGGTATCAAATTGCAGAAATCTCATTTAAGTTACAAAAAAAATCATTTAAGAACTCCACCTATGATTAGGGTGATTAGGAAAATGATTTATATAACACGGAAAATGAGTTTCGGTTAATTAGGTTTAGAACCTCCCCACACCGCCTCTAGTAATTGTAAACATTCTTGAAACAAAAACAAATTTAACATTTTATTCTTCATAGGTATTTTGTGGTGTCTGTTGTAATAGGAAGTGTAAACTGCAATATCTAGAAAAGGAAGCAAGAGTATGTGTAGTCTGCTATGAAACTATTAGTAAAGGTGAGTATTAACTTGACATATTTTCTTCCAGTAATTGAATATATCTTAAATTAATTGGATTGTGATGACAAAGATAAACTTCTTTGTTTTCTTAAGGCAGGGACCTAGTGTTGAATTATCTGGCTTAGGTGGGACATCCCAAGGCTTGGTTTCTCTTCTTTTTGTTCCACTCTCACAATTAATACTACCAATCTGGAAAGGAAACATTCAATTTCTGGAGTGGCAGTTCATTAACTTTTAACAGGTACCAAGTCCCTAAATGCTGCATTTCATCTGCCCATTTGTTTTTGTCATTATCATTGTCATGTTCATCATCTTAATCTAAATAAACACTTGTAGATACCTATCAAGTAGTACTGAATATTATTTATTAATAGCACAGGGCAAGGTACTAACTAGTTCGTACCCTTTAGAAAATAGCAACCTAAAATGGAAGTATAAGATAAAGTGGAAATATTTATGATTTTATAAATTCATAGAACTGCCACACTATTTGCACATTTCTGTCTCATATATTTTTTTCCTTTCTCAACTTCAGAATTTTGCATATGTACACTTCCCATTATTTCTTTGGCTCTCTAGCTACAATTATTAGCAATAGTCTTGGTGGTCTTTGAGTTCTCACAGGGTATGTCTTGTGTTTTTTTCCCCAAATCCATGTTTGTTCTTTTGAGTACCACTTGGCATTTTTAAAGATTTGTTGACAGTTTAATTCCCAGCAAATATTACTTGGGCCTTCTTTGACCAGACCTATGCACTAGCTCAGGCACTGCGTCCTGTTAGCCAGGGGAATGAATACCCGATAATAACTTGTTTTTCTCTTTTGAATGAAGATAAATTTTTTCAGCAATTCTCCAAAAATCTCTGATGTGAGTCTGTTAGCCTGAGGTAAGCTGCTCTTCTCCCTGATGTTGACCTCTGCTCTGGAAGATAACAAAGTGTAAATCTTTTTATATTTCCATGTTACCACCATTGTTTATGAAGAGGTTAGTTTAAGTGCTTATAGTTGTTTTGTTTTTTCTTACGCTGTTTCAGTAGCCTAGAAGATGACTGCTGGTGTTGTTAGCCAAGGGAATCTGCTAGAATTCGGAAATTTTAGAGCAAGCTCCCACATAATTATCTCCCCCACTTAAAGAGAAATTAAACACCCATGAAGATTTGAAATGTTATTTATGTTGACAGGTCAGATTTTTGGGTGAGCATTCAGGCATATTTTGACTAAGGGTCCAGGAGGGGAGAAGATATGGTTATTAAAGACATTCAGTGGAATACTGAGATCAAGCTTTGGTTTTCCAAAGAAAATACTGTGGGTTGAGCTTATTTAGTTATGTTTAAATTTATTCCTTTTTGATATCTTAATAGCATATAGTTTCATCTACAGCGCTATTTATCATTAATTTATATGCCACAAGAAAGCATAAATAAAAGTTAATATTAACATTAGGGTAGAAAATAATAGAAGTGATCATTTAAATTAATGGTATCAAATAAGAAGAGAAAGATGGTTCATGGGTTGTGAGACACATTCCATGAAGGATTAGAGGAAAAAAATAATTTGAATAGAGAGATTGTGAATAATGAGAAAGCTGTCCTGAGATTACATAAGTTTCAAGGAAGCACACATGTGAATGTCAATAAGTAGATTTGGGGCAAGTTAGAAATTACTTTGAAATCCAGAGTAAGGTGTTTGGATTTCACTTGGTTAATGGAAGCCTTTTTATAAGTGCCATCATTCAGTGGCACTTGAGGAATATTTTAGCAATGGCAACATTTATAGCAGATCAGTTTGGAGAAATGATGAAGGGAGAGCTATCAGCATTGTTCCTTGTTTTTTTGGATGAAGGCTCATTCAGCAGTATCCAGGCACTATTCTGCATTCTGAAGTTGAAGCTGAGAGCAAAATAGAAGCTATATTCTCATGAAATTTATGAATGTATGTAGAGATGGATAGTAAGCAAAAATATATCAGATGGTGATAATGCCCTAAATTAAAAAATTTAAAAAGTGTAGAGTGATAGTTTATAGATTCATGGCAAAAGGAATTTTTTTTTTTTAGTTGGAGTCTCACCCTGTCACTGCAGTTGGAGTGTAGTGGTGCGATCTCAGCTCACTGCAACCTCCTAGGCTCAAGCAGCCCTCCCATCTCAGCCTCCCAAGTAGTTGGGACCACAGGCACACACCACCACGCCTGGCTAACTTTTTGTATTTTTGGTAGAGAGTGGGGTTTTACCATGTTGCCTAGGCTAGTCTCAAACTCCTGAGCTCAAGCGATTCACCTGATTTGGCCTCTCAAAGTGTTGGGATTATAAGCGTGAACCACTGTGCCTGACCTTAGGCAGTTTTTTTATAAGGCTTTATGGTAATATGACACGAGCAGAATCTTGAAGGAAGTGAGAAAATAAAGCTGTGTAAGTACCTATGAAAAGAACATTGTAGGCCAAGGGAATAATAAGAGCAAAGACTCTAATCTGGAGGAGTACTTACTTGAGCGAGGAGATCTGGGTGGCTGGATCATAGTGAATGAGCGGGGTTGTAGTGAGAGAGGAGGTCAAACAGGTACCTGGGAAAGTGGAGGAGGTAGGGATGCTAATTATGTTGGATCTTGTGAGCCATTGTAACAACTGAAATTTTCACTTTAGCCATCAAAGGATTTTAAGCAGAGGAATGATGAGATATGATTTATGTCTAAAAGAATCTCTCTAAACTATGTTGGAAATAGACTCTAGGGGTATAAGGGCAAAAACAGAGACAGTCATGTTAAATAAGGGTTATTCTCTGTGGATATCAAACATACACCAGATATAATATTGAAATAACTTATCGGTAGCTTATCAAAGTGGCATGCTGCCACACATGGACACTGGGAGGGGAGCATCACACACTGGGGTCTCTTGGTGGGGACAAGGGAGGGACAGTGGGGAGGCGGTTGGGGAGGTCGCGGAGGGATAACATGGGGAGAAATGCCAGATGTAGGTGACGGGGGATGGAGGCAGCAAACCACATTGCCATGTGTGCACCTATGCAACAATCTTGCATGATCTGCGTATGTACCCCAGAACCTAAAGTACAATTAAAAACAAATAAAGAGCCTGTGCTAGCTACTCAGACAGTATCTTTGCCAAGTGCTACTACTTTTTCTTGATTAGCCATTTCTTTCTTTTTCCTTACAACTTAAAAAATAGAGATTGTAATTTGCTTGGAAGTAAATTACAAAAACATCTGAGATTTTAATACTATTGTTTTCCCCTTTATAGCTCAGGCATTTGAAAGGATGATGAGTCCAACTGGTTCTAATCTTAAATCTAACCATTCTGATGAATGTGCTACTGCCCAGCCTCCTCAGGAAAACCAAACATCCAGTATACCTTCACCAACAACTTTGCCAATCTCAGCACTTAAACAACCAAGTGTTGAAGGTAATAGGAGAAAATGCTGTGTCTTAGACTAAAGATAAATTATTGTAATAGAAATTCTATAGTATAGCCAGAGTCTAGTCAGGAAAGAGAAACCAAACTAGATATCAAGAGGGATTTAATACAGGGAATTGGTTTCACATGCAGGCTGGAAGACTGAAAGAGCAAAAAGGCTGTGCTCCAGTGCCTCAGCAGTTAGTAACTGCAGGAAGAAACTGTTATAACTGGAGTTTGGGGCTACAAAAGGGGAGAGGCTAGAGCTCAGTGCAGGAGAACCAGGAGGTGCTTGGATATCAGATGTGGGAGTCAGAAGCCATGGTCATGACGCTATCAAGAAGCCTCATAGAGTTGGTGCTCAGATGACTGAAGTAGAGCTCCAGATTTGATGTTAGGAGTACTGAAAATCATGAGTCCAGCAGCTGTATCTGGTGGTGGTGCTGCTGCAAAGATCCTTGCAGGAACCAGAAACAAAGAATTCCTTCTCATTTCTTCCCACCTTATGGTCTCCCACCAGTGCCTGCTATTGGAAAAACCTGACCAAAGCCAGTAACAAGAGAGTCTGGGAATTGCAGTTTCCAGACTTCCAACCTGGTATCCAAGAGCCCAGTGTAGAGGGTGAGCTTGGGTTTGAGAGGCAATAGGTAAATAATTGTCCTATCTCCTTTTCGTTAAAAATCTATTTTTAATTGTATATTTTACCACAGCTATGTTTTTAAATCTATTTTTAAATCTTTGAGTTACCTGTTCTTTTTTCCAACCTGTCATCACTTAGCATCTTGAGTAAAGCACATGTATGTCTTTAAATATGAATTATTAGTCTGTAACATGCTAGAAAAGAACCATAAATGTCAGCTAAAGGTAAACTTGGATCCTTCTATTTTTGTGGATTTAAATTTATTACTCGGTAGCTATTTTTCATTTATTATAATGAAATGAGACTCAGCATTATATGTTGTATATTATAGCTCTAAAGATGAATAAATCTGTGTTTAAAAATATATACATAGTCTTATGTTGGTAACCAAAGTGATTAAATTATAAAAATGTTGCAAATACAAGATAGATACTTAATATGTCTACCTACATTACAATATATATATATAATTTTATATTATATATATAATTATATATATATAATTATATATAATATAAAATTATATAATTATATATATATATTATATATATATAATATATATATATAATTCCAACTTTTTCAGTGTTTATTGTATTCTGGAAAGTAGACATTGAATCTTTTTTTATTTTTAAAATATTGTTCTAAAATCATCTGGCAGAGATTTTCATAACCTTCCTCTATGGATGCTTTGTAAGAAAAGAGAAAAATGTTTATGTTGATATCAGTTATTTCCTTCAAATTTGGAAGGAAATATTAATCAGTATTAATAAAATTCACTATCCACATTATAAGAACAAAAAAATGTTATGCTTCTCTTGTTAAATAAAGAAATGTCCCGCCTGGCGCAGTGGCTCAAGCCTGTAATCCCAGCACTTTGGGAGGCCGAGGCGGGTGGATCACGAGGTCAAGAGATCGAGACCATCCTGGTCAACAAGGTGAAACCTCGTCTCTATTAAAAATACAAAAATTAGCTGGGCATGATGGTGTGTGCCTGTAGTCCCAACTGCTCGGGAGGCTGAGGCAGGAGAATTGCTTGAACCCAGGAGGCGGAGGTTGCGGTGAGCCGAGATCGTGCCATTGCACTGCAGTCTGGGCAACAACAGCGAAACTCCGTCTCAAAAAAAAAAAAAAAAAAAAGAAATGTCCTGTGATATTAAGAAATCTCAAGTGATCCTGTTACCTTTTTTAAGTTTTTAAATGTCTATATATATATATATAAAGAATAGATATATATAAGCCATATATATATGCTTCAGTCTACTCCACTTTTCATCACTGTACCTTAGGCCCTAAATTTTATTCAGTCTCTTCTCCACACTCACACAAACTTACCCTCAATAATATAGGCTTTAAATCTTCTTCCCCCTTTGTCTTTAAGGTATAATCTCTCCTGCCCTCTCCTCTTCAGAGTGATTCCCAGTGCCACCCCTGGTTTAATATGCTGTGATATTAGATAGATCTCCTGTCCATTCCTTTTCATAGTATATGATTTCCAGGGCCACTCCTGGTCTAATATGCTCCTCTTGTATGAATTAGATAGAAACAGACTCCACTCAGGGCAGATGAGTCACAAAAGGCCATTTCTCTAGACCTTTGTAGCCCTGAGAATTCAGGGGTTGCCAATCGATAGCAAAAGACTTTTGAAAACATTTCCTGATCTATTTGGCATTAAATCATTGCAATATTACCAGATTAGAATGTTTTACTTTTTCAATTGATTCTAGGACTATGCTCCAAAGAACAGAAGAGAGTATGGTTTGCAGATGGTATATTGCCCAATGGTGAAGTTGCAGATACAACAAAATTATCATCTGGAAGTAAACGATGTTCTGAAGACTTTAGTCCTCTCTCACCTGATATGCCTGTGGTAAGTAATTCAAAGAATAACTTATTGACTAAATAAAATTTTATTTTATTTTATTTTATTTATTTATTTATTTTTTTGAGACAGAGTTTCGCTCTTGTTACCCAGGCTGGAGTGCAATGGCGCGATCTTGGCTCACCGCAACCTCCGCCTCCTGGGTTCAGGCAATTCTCCTGCCTCAGCCTCCTGAGTAGCTGGGATTACAGGCACATGCCACCATGCCCAGCTGAAATTTTGTATTTTTAGTAGAGATGGGGTTTCACCATGTTGACCAGGATGGTCTCGATCTCTTGACCTCGTGATCCACCCGCCTCGGCCTCCCAAAGTGCTGGGATTACAGGCATGAGCCACCGTGCCCAGCCATAAAATTTTATTTTGTAGATAATTCCTGGTGTGATTACTAGAGTGCCTTTTTTTTTTTTTTTTAACACTTTGAATTTCCTAAAATAAGAGATGGATTGATATAGTGAATATATTTTAAATTTAACACCCTTTAAAAAAAAATAGAGAGTTTGGGCGCAGTGGCTCACGCCTGTAATCCCACCACTTTGGGAGGCCGAGGAGGACAGATCACGAGGTCAAGAGATAAAGACCATCCTGTCAAGAGATCAAGATCATCCTGGCCAACATGGTGAAACCCTGTCTCTACTAAAAATACAAAAATTAGCTGAGTGTGGTGGTGTGCACCTGTAGTCCCAGCTACTCAGGAAGCTGAGGAAGGAGAATCGCTTGAACCCGGGGGGGGCGGAGTTTGCAGTGAGCTGAGATTACACTACTGCACTCTAGCCTGGTGACTGGGACAGTCTTGCTGTGTTGTCCAGGCTAAAGTGCAGTGACATAATTACCACTTAACTGCAGCCTCTAATTCCTGGGCTCAGGTGATGCTTCCACCTCAGCCTCCCAAGTAGCTGGGATTACAGGTATAAGCCACCATGCCTGGTTTAGACTTTACTGTTAAAAAAAAAATTTTTTTTAATTACTTTTTTTTTTTTTTTAGAGATGAGATCTCACTATTTTGCCCAGGCTGGTATCAAACTCCTGACCTTGAGTAATCCTTCCATCTCATCCTCCTGAGTCATTGAGATTACAAGTGTAAACCACCACACCTGAGAGATTTTACCTTTTTTTTTTTTTTTTTTAAAGAGAGAGTCTCTGTCGCCCAGGTTGGAGTATAGTGATGCAATCTCAGTTCACTGCAACCTCCACCTCCCAGGTTCAAGTGATTCTCCTGCCTCAGCCTCCCAAGTAGCTGGGATTACAGGCACCTGCCACCACATCCAGCTAATTTTGGTATTTTTAGTAGCGATGGGGTTTCACCATGTTGGTCAGGCTGGTCTCAAACTCCTGACCTCAAGTTATCTACCCACTTTGGCTCCCAAAGTGCTGGGATTATAGGTGTGAGCCACTGCACCTGGCCCAGATTTTACATGTTTTAAATACCAGTTTAAGGGACTGGTTCTCATACTTTTGGCCTCAGGACCCCTTTATACTCTTAAAAGTTATTAAGAACCCTAAAGCACTATAGGGTTTATGGGTTATACCTATTGATAATTACTACATTAAAATTAAAATTCAGAAATTTAAAAGATGTTTATTAACTAATTGCAAAGTAAGGCTATTACATTAGCAGAAATAATTTTTTATGAAAAATTTTTTCAAAAGTTTAGTGAGAATAGTGGGATTGTTTTACATTTTTGCCAATTTCTTTAATGTCTGACTTAATAGAAAACAAACATATTCGCACATCTGGTTCTACATTCAGTGTGTTGTGATATGTTATTTTTGATAAATTATATGAAAAAAACCTGGGACCTCACCAACTCCCTAAAAGGGTCTTGGGGACCCCAAGGATCTCTGGACCACATTTTGAGAGCTACTGGTATGGGGAAGTGTAACTGAGATTTAGTAATTTAATTTAGACTAATATTTATTTAATTATTTTCAAATATTCAAGAAAGTATGCGATGATATTTATGCTTACGTTTACATAAATGTGCTAGGTGTTAAACAGAAGATACAGAACATAGAATCCCAGATTACTAAGAATTCTCATAGAGTGGCACATACTCATAGAAGCAAGTATTAATGTATAAATTAGGAATGTTTTATGCATTAAACAGATTTATTGAGCATCTACTCTGTGCCAGTCACCTGGTTGATCCTGGGTACATGTATTAGAAAAGATGGATACTACGCCGTGTATGGCGGCTGACACCTGTAATCCCAGTACTTTGGGAGGCCAAGGTGGGCGGATCTCCTGAATTCAGGTGTTGGAGGTAGCCTGACTAACATGGCAAAATCCCATCTCTACTAAAAAAAGTACAAAAATTGGCTGGGCGTGGTGGCTCACACCTGTAATCCCAGTACTTTGGGAGGCTGAGGTGGGTGGATCATGAGGTCAGGAGATTGAGACCATCCTGGCCAACATGGTGAAACCTCGTCTCTACTAAAAATACAAAAATTAGCCAGGTGTGGTAGCAGGCGCCTGTAGTCACAGCTACTTAGGAGGCTGAGGCAGGGGAATCGCCTGAACCCAGGAGGTGGAGGTTGCAGTGAGCCCAGACCACACCACTGCACTCCTGCCTGGCGACAGAGCAAAACTCTATCTCAGAAAAAAAAAAAAAAAATCAAACAAACAAAAAATTCGCCAGGCATGGTGGCACATGCCTGTAGTTCCAGCTACTAGGGGAGACTGAGGCAAAAGAATCACTTAAACCCAGGAGGCAGGGGTTGCAGTGAACCAAGATTGCGCTAATGCACTACAGCCTAGGCAACAGGGTGAGACTCAGACTCAAAAAAAAAAAAAAAAAAAAAAAAAAGATAAAAGATGGATACTTATCAGCTCTGTTGAAGTTTACATCTGGTAGAAACATACACTGTTTTTGTCAAGAGTTCATGAGCCAGATTTTACAAATAGCCATAATTACCATGGGTATGTTTCCTAGCTAGCACCTACTGTCTATATTAATGAAAACTCTGAACAGGCTAATAAATATTGAGTTCATAAATGGTTCTTATTTAATATTGACTTCATATAGTCTAAAAAGAAAAAGGCTTTATTGAAGTAGACTTTATGTAGTTTATTCCAGGTGGTTACTCTTGTGGAATATAGCTAAGGGGCGGCTTCCTAACCACTCCCCTCCCCTTATTCCTGCCTTGTCCCTCCCCACTAAGCACCCAAGGGTTTTTGGCTATCTTAAGAAGGGGAGAGCCTTGGGTTGAACTAAGCTTGCTCACTGTGTGATACGGTATGGTATCTTGAAGTTCTTCTTGCCTCATTTTTTCCAATCTTAATATTAAGTCATTAATACCTACCTGAGCATGCAGTAAAACGAAAACCCTATGCTTCTTAATACATTATGCTACTGAATTTGAAGAAGCAAAATCGTACTATTTCTTGGGAAATTTAACTTTATGAGAATTTCTGAACCCATTTTGGTTTTTATTTATCCTTATTAAAAAGATAATATTTGACTATAGTGATCACATTTCATAGTTGAACAGAGAATATAAACTTATTTGTTAATTTTTTTGTTCCATGTTTTACAGATAGTAAACACAGCGGATCATTCTCATTCTACTGCAGTGGAAAAGCCAAACAATGAGATGGGAGATATTACAAGAAATGAGATAATTCGGAGTCCTATTTCTGAGGTTCCATCAGTGGAAAAATTGCCTGTAAACACAGGAAATGAGGGGTTACCTACTTCTAGTTCATTTATACTAGATGATGATGTTTTTGCAGAAACTGTAGAATCATCTAGTCCCACTGGTGTCTTAGTTAACAGCAATTTACCTATTGCTAGTATTTCAGATTATAGGTTACTGTGTGGTATTAACAAGTGTGTTTGCAATAAGATTAGTCTTCTACCTAATGATGAGGACAGTTTACCCCCACTTCTGGTTGCATCTGGAGAAAACGGATCAGGTAGGAAAGCAGTTATTTAAATTTAAAAAGATTTTTAAAAATACTGATGAATTTTGTCTGTGACATACGAAATATATTTTTTTAAACTTAGTTTGGTTGCAATATGTAATAGGCTGGTATCTTGTGTTTACAGAAAGTCTTACTGTATAAAAACTAATTCTAAAAATATTTGAACATTTATGATGCATTTATCAGATCTGACACCCTAATTTCGAATGAGGTAAAGTCTAATACAATAGGGAAGCTCATAGACTTTTAGCCCAAAGAAATATTCCCATTGTATTGGAATTTTGACACCACATTATTACTATTTTTTTTTTCAGGAGCATGGTACCTGAAGAAAAGAGCATTAGATTGGATGGCAAAGCTAGGAATTTTAGTTCCTTTTCTGCTATTTGTTACATCTATGACTTATAACGTGTTACTTAATCTCCTTGGGCCTCAGTTTCTTTTGTAAATAGAACCTAGATGATTTCTAAGGTCCTTTTCAAGCAGGAGATTCTGTGGCTAACTTCTGCCTCAGAGTGGTTTCCTAGGATAGACACTTGTCACTCTAGGCATTATGTCACATTCTGCAACATGAAATGGTTCTTTGTGTGATAATGTATGATTGAAGCTTAGGATTTCTGTTCTGTCAGTGGGAGCCATTACATGAACCTAGCTGTAGTGGCAAAAATACAGAATACAGTGAACCCTCATGCATATCTTTCTATTGATTGTCAAGATTTTTTTTTTTGCTACCTGTTCACTGATAGAAGCATATGGTAGCAAGCAGCAGATATAGGCATGTGGTAGCCAGCAGCATATATAATGTGGGTCTAGACAACTTTCACAGACTTGTAAATTTCAAAAATGATAAATGGAGTGTCTACCAAACTGGAATCCACTTTATAAAAGCGTTTGTCTTAGAACTTTGAAGGTGCTAAAACTGTATACATTTGCTGTTTAATCAACATATTATAAATATACTATGTGTAATACAGTATTTGCATTACAGTATTAACAACTTTACATGGAAAGAAAAGTAAAAATTAGTATATAACAGTTGTCTGGGGTGTTGATTGATTGAAACATGTTTGCTTTTGTTTTTAAATTTGATCAGGCCACTGGTGGATTTATAAATTTGTTTTCTTGATTTGTAAGCATATTTAATAGGATGTTTATCCTGATTAATATATTACTTTCATCATTTAGTGCCTGTAGTAGAAGAACATCCATCTCATGAGCAGATCATTTTGCTTCTTGAAGGTGAAGGATCTCCTCCTGTTACATTTGTCCTAAATGCTAATCTACTCGTGAATGTCAAATTCATATTTTGTAAGTAATAATTTATCTTTATTTGCTTAATTAGTAAGCAGGATTTCTGAATTAATTATATCTTCAGGTTAGATTTTGACTGGCAATGGTGAAAAATAAGCAGCATTGGATATTGGTTTTTCAGCCAGATATGACTATAAATAAATTTTTCAAATTTATGTTCAGTGGGACTTGAAACACAAGCTCACGGAGCTTTATTAACATCCCTCAGTCAATCTTAGGTTAAGGTCATGGGCTTATATAGCTGAGCTGTATTTTGATACTCATGATACAATTGACTATATCTCCTATGGCTTTTGGATAAATTGAAATTTGGTAACTGAAATAAGCAGGAATCCTGATTTAGTAGCAATAAAGGCAGTTTTTTTAAGTAAGAGACATGTGACCTAATTAAAAAGAAAGGAAGTAATTCTTAATCCCCACTACTCAATAATGCATCTATCAGCTTTTCATTCTATTTAAAACTAAATTCTTACCCACTACATTTCAGTATTTAGTGCATCTTTTATTTTAGTGTTCCTTATTAATTGACTCTGTATGATAATCCTTTTTCTTATTTTATATGAATTTTATACAATTCAATTTAAGATTTTCATGAGGAGAACTTTGGCAACACAAGGAATTTGAAAAGTTGTGTTAAATGCGAAAACAATTGTTCTTAGTTTTTTGGTTAATAGAAGTTGACATTAATAGTTGTATTGTTTTATCATCTAAGATTCCTCAGACAAATACTGGTACTTCTCAACCAATGGATTGCATGGCTTGGGACAGGCAGAAATTATTATTCTATTGTTATGTTTGCCAAATGAGGATACTATTCCTAAGGACATCTTCAGACTATTTATCACCATATATAAGGATGCTCTAAAAGGTATGGCATTTTATTTTAAATTGTTCAGACTGGGGAATGGATAAATCAGTTAAAGGCATTTATGCATTTGACTGTGCTAGCTATTTTAAAGATTTATTTTTGTGAAGAGATTGCTGATTTCTGAAAAGATCTTAATAATTATTTTGTCTCCTTAAAACTAGCATTTTATGTGATTAGTGTTTATATGCAGATTTTTATATTTTAAAAATGGAAATATATCCTTATGGCTTTTTTTTTTTTTTTTGAGACAGTGTCTCGCTCTGCCACCCAGGCTGGAGTGCAATGGCACAATCTTGACTTACTGCAACCTTTGCTTCCTGGGTTCAAGAGATTCTTCTCACTCAGCCTCCCAAGTAGTTGGGATTACAGGCACAGGCCATCATGCCCAGATAATTTTTGTATTTTTAGTAGATGAGGGGTTTCACCATGCTGGCCAGGGTGGTCTAGAACTCCTGACCTCAAGTGATCCGCCCACCTCAGTCTCCCAAAGTGCTGGGATTATAGGCATGAACCACTGTGCCCAGCCTGCCTCCTTGATTTTTTAATGTGTCTATGTAATTTCCTTACTGTCATTACAAGACTGGGAGATATGGTAATTTTTCACTTGACCATGCGGTAAGGAGAAAAATGGAAAGGTTGGAAACATTTTCAAATTTTTGTTCATAATTCCCAATATCCAGGAATAACTTGGAGCTTTGGGTACCGAAAGTATTCAATAGATGCTTTTGCAAGAACAGAAGTAAGGAAAAAATTCTATAGTGTCTTAAGACAGTTTATATTGGGACATTCAAACTCCAAACATTTCTTCAAAAACAGTAACGAAACAACTTAAAATCTTTTTACTAATGAATTTATTTGCAGGAAAATACATAGAAAACTTGGACAATATTACCTTTACTGAGAGTTTTCTCAGTAGCAAGGATCATGGAGGATTTCTGTTTATTACACCTACTTTTCAGAAAGTTGATGATCTCCCGTTACCAAGTAATCCTTTTCTTTGTGGAATTCTTATCCAGAAGCTTGAGATTCCCTGGGCAAAGGTTTTTCCTATGCGTTTAATGTTGAGATTGGGTGCAGAATATAAAGGTAAGTTTTAGAGTCATAAGTTAAATTGCATATTTTCAAATATACTGAATGTAAAATAAGAATTTCAGGGAATCATTAAATCAATTTTAGTGGATTAATGGAACTACAGTTGTTCTGCTGTGCTTTTAAAGTTCTAATACAACTCTCTTCTACCAGGTTCGTCTAGATAACTGTGGTATGTCTTCAAGTTTCTGGATGTTCATAAGTTATTTTATTACCTAAAACTTTTCTTCTCAAATTTGAGAACAAAACAGAAAACAGTACAGATCGAATGTGCTATATCTGAAATGTATTGGATCCGTTTTTTGGATTTTTGACTTTTTCAGATTTTGGAATATTCACAGAATACATACCAGTTGAGCATCCCAAATCCAAAATCTGAAATGCTCCAGTGAGCATTTCTTTCAAACATCAAGTTGGCATTCAAAAAAGTTACAGGCCAGACATGGTGGCTCACACCTATAATCCCAGCACTTTGGGAGACCAAGGTGGGCGGATCACTTGAGGTCAGGAGTTCAAGAACAGCCTGGCCAATGTGGTAAAACCCTGTCTCTACTAAAAATACAAAAATTAGCCAGGCAAGGTGGCAGACACCTATAATCCCAGCTACTTGGGAGACTGAGGCAGGAGAATTACTTGAACCCAGGAGGCAGATTTGCAGTGAGCGGAGATCGTGCCACTTCGTCCCAGCCTGGGTAACAGAGCAAGACTCTCTCTCTCAAAAAAAAAAAAAAAAGTTACAGATTTTAGAGCATTTTGGATTTTAGGTTTTCAGATTTGGGATGTTCAACATGTGTTAATTACTTTTGTTAAAATTTTCTTAAAAGTATGTACTGTTGGGAGTTGTTATGTTGCCTATGTATTAAGAACATAAATCATTGCCTCTCTCAATTTTTGTATGTCATAAAGCCAAACATAAAGGATTTTTGGGTTAGCAGTGCTGTTGTTTTCAGTTACTGACCAAAATTAAAAGCTAACTATTTTTAGAGAAGGAAGTACTTAAAAATTGTAGTGTTTTTCTAAGCTTGATTATTCTTATTTTTATATTCTGATGTTTATCTGTCAAAAGTGACATTGCCTGTATCATTTATGTATATGTGCATGTATGTATATTATCTACCCTTGACACAATGGGTGATTCTAAAGCTGTTGTGATATTTATATATATGGTTCTTTCTGAATTAGAATTATTTCTAATGTTAAACTTTTTTGAATTCCCACCATATCTTTTATCTCTGACTTTTGTCAAGAAATAATATATTTATTGCATTTGAAGTACATCACATCTAATGAACTTTTTAGACATTTGATTCTAATACAATTTGGTAGAGATTTTCTTGGCGGAAAATTAAATATTGAGAAGCTATAAAAATGGTGATTACTATTTCTGAATAGACGAAGTGAGAGAAGGGATAATTTATTTGGCAAATTTTATTAAACTGTGATTTTTGTGGATGGGGATTCCTTACCATTCAGGATTTACATACATGATGCTATTAACTTGTGGGAAAAATAACAAAATTTAATTTGCATCTCAGGTTTTGTACTGTGTGAACCAAAGAGCTTAAGAAAGATTAGGGCAAGAAACTAGCTAATCAAATTATTATGGAACGTGTTTGTAAGTATGGCCAGTATTTTGACCAGTAGCACTTCTAGATAGTAAGTCTGGTTTTCTCACACTGAAGGTTGGAGAATCCTGGAGCAATACAAAGGACTTCTCATAAATCACAGGGATTGGAACTACAAAGCTTTGATAAGCTTTTTAGTAGTAATGAGGGGAAACTGTCAGTTATACATAGAAGTTAATTCACCTTAGGTCTTTTCTGAATTATTTCTGTTCTGCTGGATTTTACATAGACTGCCACTTTGACATTATTGGTGTCTATGTCTTTCTAGATGTGAACTTGTGTGTGTGTGTGTGTGTGTGTGTGTGTGTGTTTATTTTGTTACAGAGGTAATGTACATTTGAATAAGCTAATGCGAAAGTTAAAGTCCCAGGAATAAAGAAAATAACTGTCTCAAAATAGTAATTTTATTTATTTTTTTTATTTTTATTTTTTGAGATGGAGTCTTGCTCTGTAGCCCAGGCTGGAGTGCAGTGGCATGATCTCAGCTCACTGCAACCTCCTCCTTCCAGGTTCAAGAGATTCTCCTGCCTCAGCCTCCTGAGTAGCTGAGATTACAGGCACCCACTACCATGCCTGGCTAATTTTTGTGTTTTCAGTAGAGACAGGGTTTCTCCATGTTGATCAGGCTGGTCTTGAACTCCTGACCTCAGGTGATCTGCCCAACGTGGCCTTCCCTTTTTGTTTATTGGTTTCCCTGACTCATCTGTATACTTCTTTTATCATGCTGAACCAAGAACTTTAAAGTTTGCTACCATTCATAAATTAGCACAATTGAATATTAATTATATATGCCTTAAAAGTCTTTAGTTCTTTGTATTTCTCTTTAAACTATCAGAAATTTATAGAATTCTAACCAACTATCATAATTTTTCACCCTCTATAATTTTGCAGAAACAAGATATATAATGAAAAGATGAAATACTTTGGAATCAGACAAGCCTAGTTTCAAACCTATTTCACCAATTATTAACTTAGTCACTTTGAGCAAGTTGATTAATTTCTGTGTCTCAACTTTCTCATTTATGAAATAGTGTAGACACACTTACTCATTAGGTTGTAGTTGAATTTAAGATAATGCATGTATAGTTTCCAGTTTCAATGTAGCATCTTGTAGATACATAGATACACAGTAAGTGTTAATATTATCTCTTGGCTGGGTGTGGTGGCCATGCCTGCAATCCCAGCACTTTGGGAGGCCAAGTTGGGCAGATCACCTGAGGTCAGGAGTTCAAGACCAGCCTGGCCAAAATGGTGAAACCCTATCTCTACTAAAAATACAAAAATTAGCTAGATGTGGTGGCGCATGCCTGTAATCCCGGCTACTTGGGAGACTGAGGCAGGAGGATTGCTTGAACCCGGGAGGCAGAGGTTGCAGTGAGTCGAGATCCCACCACTGCGCTCCAGCCTGGGCAACAGAATAAGACCCTGTCTCAAAAAGAGAAAAAAGAAATCTCTCACTTTCCCCTGAGAACTGATTGGGTGATATTCATACCTAATGTTTGTTTGTAAAATGAGAATTGAATATAATAAATTAAATAATTTGGTTTTTGTTGTTGTTGTTAATAGTAACCAGTTTTCCTTTCTCATGTATAGCATATCCTGCTCCTCTAACAAGTATCAGAGACCGAAAACCTCTTTTTGGAGAAATAGGACACACTATTATGAACTTACTTGTGGTGAGTAATTGAACTATTTTATTAGGTGTTTTTATACTGTTATTTTCAAACTTTATTTAGCAAATTTTACACATTTATATTTGCCTACTTTAATTTGCCATGTTTAGTATAATGACCATTCATTTAAAATAAATCCTAATTATTTTAACATATTAGTGCTCAGTTTTTGATGAATTGCTTTTTAGAACATACTGTCTCCTCATGTATGTTGTGTACCTGATTCTAATTGCCTTTTGATTCACTCTCCTGCAGTTAGTTCTTGGATATTTAGGTAATGTAGAACCTCTACACAGACCTCTTAAAGTTGTTGAAACTTTTGTAAATGTGTTAGTAGAGTCAGTCAGTCTTGTGATTTTGAGCTAATTATGGCCTTAGTTTCCTCATTTATAATAGGAAGTGTTGGATTAGATGATATCTAAAGTTCTCTTCCATCTATAATTTTTGTAATTTTGTGTTTCTCTGTTACCTTAGAAAAGTATTTCAGTGGACTCACTTTTATTTATACATGCATAGTTTGAAGAGCTTTTCTATTTTGGAAGTTCTGTAACTAAAAAGAGGAGATACCCTAAATACTACAAAATTTTTCTTGAGAATGATATTCGTTATTACTGATGTAGAGAAGGATTTCTTGAAAAAGGATTTAATGGATGGGAAAATGCTCATGGATAGTAGTTTATGGTAATGGGATTATTTTATGCAGGACCTTCGAAATTACCAGTATACTTTGCATAATATAGATGACCTATTGATTCATATGGAAATGGGAAAAAGCAGCATAAAAATACCACGAAAAAAGTACAGCGATGTAAGTATAATTATTGTATTCAAATGACAATTATTGAACATTAGAGTTCCTTAGAATTATGTCACATTAAATTTTTTATTTTGAATTAGACTATCTATTGTATTATGGCAACAATAAATATTGTTTTTGAAATCCTAGAATTTGTTTACTAGTAAATAATCTATTTCATTGTGTTTCTTCTTTTTTTCCTTACTGTTTTATTGAGGTGATTACTGTTCAACTGAAGTGATTTTATTTTAAAACATTTGTTTCTATCACATTCCCAGGGAGTTGTTCAGACCAAAGCTTGATAATTATGAAGTTGGTCAGGAACGTGGCTCTTAGAATAAGCATACAATGTTAAAAGTGTTTCTAGACAAATGTTGTTGTTTTTGTTTTTATTCAGGTAATGAAAGTACTAAATTCTTCTAATGAGCATGTCATTAGCATTGGAGCTAGTTTCAGTACAGAAGCAGATTCTCATCTAGTCTGTATACAGAATGATGGAATGTATCAAACACAGGCCAACAGTGCCACTGGCCATCCTAGAAAAGGTGAGCATCATGGTTCAATTAATAGAGTTCCTTTCAAAGGGGAAATAAATGTATATTTACTTATTTGCTGAATTGTTGGTGATAAAACAGTATGCTTTGAAATTTTAGCTACATAACAGATTTAAAAATTGTTTCTAATTTTTGTTTTTCTCTTGGGCTACATTAGGCTTACAGACTTGGAAGACTATATGCCTTTTGACATATTTAGGTTTCATGTATCCCATAGAGTGGGAGTCTTTCTTGGAATAATTTCTTTCTGAAATAAGATATTTCTTTTCACATTTGTTCACCCTCTGCTCCAACAACTGTTAGTTGGGGGAGCACAGGGTGATAAGGATAAGAATGATTTATAAAACATAACAAGCAGCATGTATGAATGATATTACTCTCAGCTATGGCTGAATGGCTTCAGTGATTGCTCTGATTACCAAACCCTTGCAGTAGAAGGCCTAACAAATTGAAAGTTAAATGGAAGCATTTCATAAAATTAATACATTATTATAGGATAACATACCTAGAATAATCTGACATTCTGGTTGCTAATAAAATTTTTTCCTCTGCTTATAAAGGTAATATATACTTATTTGTAGTAAGCTTAGAAAATGCATTTTGAAAAGTTGTAAAAAAGTGCCAAGATATGGTCACTATTGACATTTTACTGTATTTCCTTCTGATATTATATATAATATAATGTATATTATATTAATATATGTTAAATAGATGATTTTATACCAGATATTTATACTTTTATATTATACTTTATTACTTAACATATTGGCATTTTTGCCATTAAAATTTAACAACTCTTGAGTATTCATTTGTTGAATAGGTATATTTTTATGTGGTAAAATTAAAAAGGTATAAATGTTTATAGTGAAAAATCTCCTTTCCTCCCTTGACCATCCAGCCATCCCTACAGGCAACCAAACCAATATTATCAGTTCTTATATATCCTTTAAGAGGCATTTTTTGCTTTAATGTATATTCAAGAAACACACACATACACATCTATCTCTTCCACTTTTTTAGAGAAGTCATAGTATTTTTCCATTCTTACCTTGCTTTTTTGTTGTTGTTAATACACTTTGGAGATTAATCTATGTTTGTATATAAAGAGCTTTCATATTCTACAGAACTTTCCATTTTATATGTTATGCATTCTTTAACTGTTCCTTATTGATGGACATAAGTTGTTACCAATCCTTAGGGGCTGTTTATAAAAATGGTACAGTGAATGGCTTTGTATACATTTGAACCTATCTATAAGATAAATTCCTAGAAGTAGAATTGGTGTGTCAAAGGATACATTTACTTGAAATTTTAGTAGAAAATTGCCAAGTTAGGGCTCCATAAAGACTGTTCTTTTTTGTGCTCTCACCAGTAGTGAATGTTTGATTTCCTACACTCTCACTAATACAGGCACAAACATTTAAAACAGTTTAATAGTCCATTAATTATTAATAACATTAAATTATTTTATTATTTATTTTATTTACTTTTTTTTTGAGACAGAGTCTTGCTCTGTTGCCCAGGCTGGAGCACAGTGGTGTGATCTCAGCTTACTGGAACCTCCGCCTCCCAGGTTCCAGCAGTTTTACCTCAGCCTACTCAGTAGCTGGGATTACAGGCACTTGCTATAATTTTTTTATTTTTAGTAGAGATGTGGTTTCACCATGTTGGCCAGGCTGGTCTTGAACTCCTGACCTCAGGTGATCTGCCCTCTCGGACTCCCCAAGTGCTGGGATTACAGGCGTGAGCCACTGTGCCTGGATGCATTAAATTATTTTAATATAATATTGTATCTTAATTTTTTAAAAGTTTTCTAATGTAAGTTGTGGTATAACATTTATTGAGTACTTCAAATGTGCATATCCACATCCTGCACTTAACAAATATGTAATATAAAAATGAGCAGTTTAGGCTGGGCGTGGTGGCTCAAGCCTGTAATCCCAGCACTTTGGGAGGCCGAGGCGGGTGGATCATGAGGTCAAGAGATCGAGACCATCCTGGTCAACATGGTGAAACCCCGTCTCTACTAAAAATACAAAACATTAGCTGGGCGTGGTGGTACATGCCTGTAATCCCAGCTACTCAGGAGGCTGAGGCAAGAGAATTGCCTGAACCCAGGAGGCGGAGGTTGCGGTGATCCATTGCACTCCAGCCTGGGTAACAAGAATGAAACTCCGTCTCAAAAAAAAAAAAAAAAAATGAGCAGTTTAAAACAAATAATTCTTGTATTTCTTGATCAGTGACAGGTGCAAGTTTTGTGGTATTCAATGGAGCTCTGAAAACATCATCAGGATTTCTTGCTAAGTCCAGCATAGTTGAAGGTATGAGTTTCATTTTTAATGTTGTTTTAATGTAGTTATTTTTCTGCAACCTTTTAAAAATACATTTGATACTTACAAAAGAACATATGTAAGTTATAAAGCACAGTGCCACAAACTTCTATGAATTCATCAACCAGCACAAGAACTAGAAGACTTATCTCTCTCTTCCGCCTCTCCCCAAGAATTAGTGACTGGACTGAATACTGTGTTTATCATTCTCTTGCTTAATTGTTTTTTACTTTGTATATACGTCTGCCTAAACAACATATTGTTTGTGCTTATTTAGGAGATATATAAAATTGAAATCATTCTTCACATAGTCATATGGAACTCCCTATTTTCATACAATATGAGTTTCTAAAATTTATGCATGTTATTTCTTACAACTATAGTTTATTCCTTTTAAATGCTGTTAAATAGTTTGTGAATGCATTACAACATATTTATTTCCTGATCATGAACTTCTGGGTTGTTTCTATTCTAAGAATATATTCTAGAGTTTCCCTAGAAACTTCACAAATTCGTTGTACCAATTTATATTACCATCAGAATATATAAAATTTATGATTGGTTTACATTTTTCCAAATGTGATTTTATCAGACTGCTTAATTTGTGTCAATCCTGTAGGTATCTCTGAATATAGTCATAATTAGCATATCCCTAATTATTAATAAGCACAGCATCCTGTTACATATTTATTGGACATGCATGTTGCCTCTTCTATGAAATGTCTGTTCATTTCTTTTGCCCATTTTTCTATTGGATTGTGTGTCTTTTTCTAATTGATTTGTAGTTACACAATTTTATGTATTTTTATTCCTTCTCTACCATTTTTAGTGTCTTTTTAAATAGAAGTTCTCATTTCAATACAGTATAATTTATGACTCTTTTATAGCTAATGTCTTTTATTTAAGAAATCTATCATATAGTTTAGAAAGGTATTCTCTTATGTTGTCTTTGAAGATTTAAAGTTTTGCCTTTCACACTTAAGTCCTTAATTTATCTGGAATTTAATTTTGTGTGTAGTGTGAGGTAGAGAAATCCAGTGACTTTTTTTGTCATTTGAATAGGGGTTGATCTACCATCAGATATTGAATTGTCCCTTTGCCCTAGTAATCTTTAATGCTGTGTCTGTCACATGGCACGTTTTATTTCCATGAAAATCTGTTTCTGGGCTATGTTCTTAGCTTTTGTTGTGTTTTAGTCAGTTTGTTTAACTCTGTACTGATACCATACTATTTTATTGTTTTTGTAAACATTTTCACTTTTACTATGAAAAAATGAAGCATGTATAAAAGTAAAAAAGTATAATATGATAAATGTTAATGGAACCATCACCCACCTTTGACAGTTATCAATTTATAATCTACCTACTTTATCCATACTCCTTACCTACTCTTCCCATTGGTTTATTGTTATTATATCATTTCATTCACAAATAATACATGTTTCTAAAAGAAAAAGTAGTTTTTCAGAAACATAACCACAAAACTACAGGTTGAACATTCCAAATCAAAAAATGTGAAATGCTTCAAAATCCTAAACTCTTTGAGTGCTGGCATGACTCTCAATAGAAGTGCCCATTGGAGCATGCCAGATTTCACATTTCAATTTCAGATGCTCAACTGTTAAGTATATAATGCAGATACTCCAAAATCCAAAGAAAATCTGGAATCTGAAACACTTCTGGTCCTACACACTTCAGATAAGGGATATTCAACCTGTATTATCACACATAAATATTTTATCAATAATACCTGTATATCCAATCAGTAGTCACATTACCCCCATTTTCTTAGTCAGTATCCAAATAAGATCCAATCACTGCAATTGATTGTCTACTCTTTTAATTATGTCTGTTTTCAGTATTTTTTGTGATTACTTCTTCTGAATCAGTTTGGGCTGCCATAACAAAATACAAGAGATTGAGTAGCTTAAAAAACATTTATGTTTTTCACAATTCTAGAGGCTAGAAGTTCAAGATAAAGGTGCCAACAGGGTTGGTTTCTGGTGAGGCTTGTCTCCTGGGCTTGAGGGTGGCTGTATCCTTACATGGCCTTTTCTCTGTGTGCACTCTCAGAAAGAGAGTGAGCTCCAGTATCTCTTCTTCTTATAAGAACACCAGTCCTAGGCTGGGCACTTTGGTTCATGCCTGTAATCTGAGCACTTTGGGAGGCTGAGGCAGGTGGATCATTTGAGGTCAGGAGTTCAAGACCAGCCTTGCCAACGTGGTGAAACCCCATCTCTACTAAAAATACAAAAATTAGCCAGGCATGGTGGTGGGCGCCTGTGATCCCAGCTACTTGGGAGGCTCAGGTAGGAGAATTGCATGAACCTGGGAGGCATAGGTTGCAGTCAGCTGAGATTGTGCCATTGCACTCCAGCCTGGGCAACAGAGCAACACCTCGTCTCAAACAAAAAAACAAAAAAAACACCAGTCCTTTCAGATTAAGGCCTCACCTTTATGACTTAATTTAGCTTTAGTTATCTCCTTAAAGGCCCAACTCCAAATACAGTTACATTTGGGGGTTAGGGCTTCAACATATGAATTCTGGGGAAACACAATTCTATCCATAACATTTAGATTTTCTAATTCTTTTAAAATCAATTATGGTAGTATGTGGCTTTCTAAGTGTATTAGTCCAATTTCATACTGCTATAAAGAACTGCCTGAGATACTACTTAGCCCAGGGCCTTGTGGCTAGGCTGGTTCTCTCCTTTCTAATCAGAGGCTTCTGCTGGGAACATGCTCCACCAGATCAGGCCAAGAAGCATCCAGCCTTGATCCCCCCTCTTTGTATTTATTGGAACTGGAGGTAGTGGAGTGGTCCTGTATCTCTTGCGTCTGGTATTGTTCAATCCGGATGTTTGTTGGGACAGAAAGAATAACCCAGAGCCCTGGAACAAACTGGGTCCCAATGATCAATACAAGTTCTACTCAGTGAATGTGGATTACAGCAAACTGAAGAAAGAACATCTGGATTTCTAAATGAAATGTTTCACTATAAAGCTGCTTTAAAATGAAGGTCTTCCAGAGGCCATCCACACAGTTTTCTACTTAACCAGGAAATATTTCTTCTCTAAATGCATGAAATCATGTTGATGTAATCTATTGCAGATTACACTAATTAATAAATAAATGAAACTTGAAAAAAAATAACCACCTGAGAGTGGGTAATTTATAAAGGAAACAGGTTTAATTGACTCACAGTTTAGCACGACTGGGGAGGGTTCAGGAAACTTAAAGTCGTGGTGGAAGGTGAAGGGGAAGCAAGGCACCTTCTTCACAAGGCAGCTGGAAGGAGAAGTGCCAAGTTAATGGGGAAGAGTTGGTTATAAAACCATCAGATCTTGTGAGAACTCACTTGCTATCATTAGAACAGCATGGGGGAAACTGCCCCCATGATCCATTTACATCCACCTGGTCTTTCCCTTGACTTGTGGGGACTATGGGGATTACAATTTAAAATGAGATTTGGGTGGGGACACAAGGCTTAACCATATTATTCTGCCCCTGGCCCCTCCCAGATCACATGTCCTCAGATTTCAAAACACAATCATGCCTTTGCAGCAGTCTCCCAAAGTCTTAACTCATTCCAGCATTAATGCAAAAGTCAAAGTCCAAAATCTAGTCCGAGACAAGGCAAGTCCCTTCTGCCTATGAGCTTGTAAAATCAAGAGCAAGTTAGTTACTTCCTAGATACATTTGGGGGACAGGCATTGGGTAAATACATGTATGTTAAATGTGAGAAATTGGCTCAAATGAAGGGGCTACAGGCCCCATGCAAGTCTGAAATCCATCAGGGCAGTCAAATCTTACATCTCTGAAATGATCTCGTTTGATTCCAGTCTCACATCCAGGTCATTTTGATGCAAAAGGTGGGCTCCTATGGCCTTGGGCAGTTCCAACCCTGTGGCTTTGCAGGGTAAAGCCTCTCCCAGCCCCTTTCATGGGCTGGTGTTGAGTGTCTGCCATTTTTTCAAGCACACAGTGCAAGCTGTTGGTGGATCTGTCATTCTGGGGTCTGGAGGATGGTGGCCCTCTTCTTACAGCTCCACTAGGCAGTGCCCCAGTGGGGACTCTTTGTGGGGGCTCCAACCCCACATTTCCCTTCTGCACTGCCATAGCAGAGGTTCTCCATGAGGGCTCCACCCTTTCAGCAAACTTCTGCCTGGGCATCCAGGTATTTCTATACATCCTCTGAAATCTAGGCGGAGGTTCCCAAACCTAATTTCTTGACTTTTGTACACCTACAGGCTCAACACCACCTGTAAGTCACTTGGGAATAATTTCCTCAGGTGACCCACTAAGCTTACCTGAGTTCTCTGCCTGGAGATAACTGTGAGCTTATCTCTTCAGATTCCCTTTAGGGATCTCAGTATTGCACTGCCTAGTGCAATAACCTAAAAACAGTTATCTCATATATTTTTTTTTAGTCTTATGGTTGGTTGTCCTGAAAGGGCTTTTTGGTACCAGTTATTTCATCATCACCAGAAGCAGAAATTCTCATCTTTGTTTTTAACCTTAAAAAAAAATCTTAACTTTGCTAAATACTTGTCTTATTTCTTAGTGGAAAACAACCATTAAGATGATTAGCAAATAATTTAAAACTTGTACCTTATACAGAACATATTTTGATAGCAAATTTTATGGCTTAGATATACACATTGGTATTTGGCAAAAGAAATGTGAAACTTACTCTCATTTCTAGATGGCTTAATGGTACAAATAACTCCAGAGACCATGAATGGCTTGCGGCTAGCTTTACGAGAGCAGAAAGACTTTAAAATTACATGTGGGAAAGTTGATGCAGTAGACCTGAGAGAATACGTGGATATTTGCTGGGTAGATTCCGAAGAAAAAGGAAACAAAGGGTAGGAATTTTTTTTATTCTAAAATATAATTGATTTGAAGGAAAGGGAAGGATTAAAACATTGCATTAATAAAATTAAATATTTTGTGAATGAATATAGACTTACACCATTTTTTTTAAATGCTTATACTCGAATTAGTGAATACAATCTGTTTTACAAACATGTGCCTAACTAGCCTCATGAGTTGTGGTGTGGTTTTTGGACTAGGATGGTCTATTTGGGAGGGGCTCGATGATGAAACATCCGTTGTGTAGCAGCATGGGCTTGATGCCAGGGCTGAGAAAAGCAAGACACTTTTTCTGTCAGATGGTACCTATTCTTGTCATATAAGTAAAAGATTCCTTTGGATGATATATACTGTATTATTTTGATTCACTATTAATACAAACAACTGGATTTAATAATATATACCTTAGAGGCCTTACAGATTATTACTGCCACTCCTTCCTCTCTTCAGTTACTTTTTTCTTTTTTTGAGATTGGCTAAGGGGTCTGGAGCAAAGAAGGAAGAAGAGGGCTGAAGGATTCCAAAATAGAGTTTTTGAATTAATGAGACAGCTTTTCTACTAGGAGGTTTTTTCTTTTCTTTTCTTTTCTTTTTTTTTTTTTGAGACGGAGTTTCGCTCTCGTTACCCAGGCTGGAGTGCAATGGCGCCGTCTCGGCTCACCGCAACCTCCGCCTCCTGGGTTCAGGCAATTCTCCTGCCTCAGCCTCCTGAGTAGCTGGGATTACAGGCACATGCCACCATGCCCAGCTGATTTTTTGTATTTTTAGTAGAGACGGGGTTTCACCATGTTGACCAGGATGGTCTCGATCTCTTGACCTTGTGATCCACCCGCCTCGGCCTCCCAAAGTGCTGGGATTACAGGCATGAGCCACCGCGCCCAGCCCTACTAGGAGGTTTTTTCTAAGGGTTTTTTGTTTTGTTGTTTATGAGATAGAGTCTCACTCTGTAATCCAGGTTGGAGTGCAATGGCGTGGTCTTGGCTCACTGCCACCTCCGCCTCCTGGGTTCAAACAATTCTCCTGTCTCAGCCTCCCGAGTAGCTGGGACTACAGGCGTGTGCCACCACACCCAGCTAATTTTTGTATTTTTAGTAGAGATGGAGTTTCATTATGCTGGCCAGGCTGATCTTGAACTTCTGACTTCGTGATCTGCCCACCTTGGCCTCCCAAAGTGCTGGGATTACAGGCGTGAGCCACCACACATGGCTATCTAAGGTATTTTAAACTTCAGGTCTGAATTGAACATATGAGAAAGGAGATATAATTTATTGATGGAACAAAAAAAGATTACTACACAATCAAGAAATCTTGGTAAATGAATATGAACTACAGATTTAATTATTTTGTGTATAATTGAAATACCTTCTTTTATATTTTTTCCCTCATTTCATCTGTTCAAATCTAATGATTTATTTCAAAAAGCACATTGGTGCTAATAATTCTATTTTATTATGTTTTATTTGGTAGTGTTATCAGTTCAGTGGATGGAATATCATTACAGGGATTTCCAAGTGAAAAAATAAAACTGGAAGCAGATTTTGAAAGTGATGAGAAGATTGTAAAATGTAGTGAGGTAACTAACAAAGAAGTTTCCTTCCTTTTACATGCTGTGTTTCAATATGTTTTTGTTCTTTGAATTTGGAGATTATGCATACTCAACCTCTAAATATGTATGTGAAGCTTATACTTTTTATGCTACACTTTGAGACACGCACATTTCCACCCCAGACTTTTATACACCAGAATTGGATTTCCATAGGGTTAGTTCAGGCTGTCAAATGGTGGTACTGCCTCCCAGCTAACAGTTAAGTGTTGGCAGCATTGCCATCTTTGGACTGTGTTATGTTATTTGACCATATTTTCCTTTTCCTCATATTTTACAAAAAATAAGATATTTTATTGTCATTAATTTATAATCAGCATTCACATATGAAAGTTATTTTTTTATGTTCCAATTTTTTTTTAAATTAGAGGATACAAAACTATAGACTCCCAATTCCTTAGTCTACCACCTTATTCCCCCTCACATTTATTTCTTAAGCATTCTTTGTGATTTTATTACATGTACAAAATAGAACCTACAGAGAATATAGACACAATGGAATATCATTTGTTTTATCTTACCTTCATATAGATGTTCTTACAGGATACACTTGTACTGTTTTAAAAAGGCTTTCCTTGCTACAAACTAACTTTAGGCACAAATAGCTGAGCCATTTCCATATTTACCATAACCTTTGGTTTTATGTTTTTACTAATAATACAGATCAAGCTATTGATACAGAATTCTCACAACTAATGATTTTCGTGGCACTTTACATTGGAATCTAATTAAAGTTGAAAGCAGCAATTGTTGCATTTAAAAGTTACTTTTAATCTTAATCATGACTTGTTTCCTAATTAAATACATTTCAGGTGTTCTACTTTCTAAAGGACCAGGATTTATCTATTTTATCAACTTCTTATCAGTTTGCAAAAGAAATAGCCATGGCTTGTAGTGCTGCGCTGTGCCCTCACCTGAAAACTCTAAAGAGTAATGGGATGAATAAAATTGGACTCAGAGTTTCCATTGACACTGATATGGTGAGGTGTGCTTTTGTGATGTATTTTTGAAATGAATGTATTGCATATTAAAATAATCAAGTTTCTCTCCAACCTTTTATTTTGGGATGAAAGAAGTGAATGAAAATTTGTTGAGCATTAAATGTGTGCTATACACTTCACATACAGTATCTGTATTAATCTCCATAACAAGGGTCAGCAAACTTTTTGTAAAAAGACAGACAGTAACTATTTTGGACAGTGTGTAGGCAGTATGGTTCTTTCACAACTACTCTACACTACCATTATATTGGGAAAGCAGCCATTCAAAGTAGGTAGATAAATGAGTGTGGTGTGTTCCAGAGAAATTTTGTTTACCCCGTGGGGCCAAATTTGGCCTGCAGGCCATAGTTTGCTGAACCTTGCGCGTGACTACCCTGCCTTATAGATAGATTTTTAAATTTACTTATTCTGACTAGATTCTATATGTACCTGATTTAAAATCTTAAAACCTAAAAGTGTATATATACCAGGACCACCTCACTGAACATTTCCACATAGCAGCATTCACACTGTATTCTATGTAACTGGTGGATTCTGGAGATAATAACTCCACACTACAGTGTAAATGGTTCCCAGAGAGGTGTATAAAGGCAACAGCCTTGGAAATATCTTTCCTACTGTTGACATCAACCGATCAGTTCACCTCCATACTTCCTTTATCCTCCTTCTCTGGCCAATCAGTGTTACTCAAGAATTCTTAGTATTCTTTGTGATTTTATGCATGTACAACCAAATACATGTGCATCCTCCTTTTTCATCTCCCCTCTTTTACATATTTTTTACCTCTTTAATATATCCTAAAGATATTAATACTAGTATATATTCTTTTTAACAGTGGCATAGTAGTTGATTATATAAATGTACCATAATTTAACTAGTTATCCATGCATGTTTGATATATGTCAATAGACATTTAGGTTGTCCACAATATTTTGCTTTTATATAAGTGTAAATATATCTATAAAAAAATTCTGAATAGAATTGCCAGGCCTGAGTATATATATTCAATAGATATTACCATATTATCCCAAATAGAGATTATGCCAATTTATATATATTTCCTCCAGCAATATGTGAGAGCTCTTCCCCTCCAAACCCTCACATCCTGTTTTTGAGACACAGTCTTGCTCTGTCACCCAGTCTGCAGTGCAGTGGCACAATCTCAGCTCACTGCAGCCTCTGCCTCCTGGGTTCAAGCAATTCTCCTGCCTTAGCTTCCTGAGTAGCTGGGACTATGGGCACACTCCACCACACCCGACTAATTTTTGTGTAGAGATGGGGTTTCACCATGTTGGCTGGACTGGTCTTGAACTCTTGACCTCGTGTGATCTGCTCACTTGACCTCCCAAAGTGCTGGGATTATAGGTGTGAGTCACCACACCTGGCCTCCCCCACATCCTTATCAAAGAAGTATATAATCAAACTTTCGAACTTGGACAATTTGATAGGTGAAAATATCACATTATTATTAATATTATTACTACTTTTTAAAGACATGCTGTCTCACTATGTTTCCCAGGCTGGTTTTGAACTCCTGGGCTCAAGCCATCCTCCTGCCTCAGCTTCCCAAAGTGCTGGGATTATAGGCATGAGCCACCATGACTGGGCCCCAGTATTATTTTAATGTATATTTCTCTTAACAAGGAGTGATGATTATCTTGCATGTAAAAACAATTTGTTTTTCTTTGAACTTTCAGTTTAAATCTGTTAGGAAAATAAATATTCTGAATTTTTTAGGAGGAGGAATATTTATTTCTTTAAAAGATTTGAACTGAAAGTTCTCTTTTCGACATCCAAGTAACTCTTTCCAACATCCAGTATAGATTTTCAAAGCCAAGACTTCATTAGAATGGTTACATGGGTGAATTCATATGTTGTAGATTTGCTTTTCTCCAGCCAGGATATGTTTTGCTCATAGTTCTTACTGGAAAGGGGGTTTTGTTTTTATCTCACTATTAAAAGCCCGCTTTTCAAGGAAGCATCCAGTAACTATTTGTTATTTGAGTAAGCACTGTGAATTTTTTCAGTCAAATTGTATTAAAATGTAATTTGCACCATTAGATTCTAATATTAAATATTATTGCAATAACAAATTTGAAATATTTTAAGGAGTTTTTTTTTAATACCATGGGGTTTTTAATTTAATATCAGAAGTTCTTCAAAGCCTCATCCCTCCAATTTGTGTATGTGTTCATTTAGAGAAACGTAAAGTATGACATAGAGGCCATTTTATCTTTATGATATATGGGGAGGGACAATTATAATTTTTGTAGTAGAAGGATAAAGGAAATACAGGAGAATGTAGAATACTTTTTATAAATATATCAAATATTTAACATGCTTGAACTGATATTTTTAAGTATTTCACTTATTTTATATTCACATTCTGAGCTAGATTCTACATTCACAAGATTGCTCATTTTCTTATTAAGATTTTTTTTTTTCCAGGTTGAATTTCAGGCAGGATCTGAAGGTCAACTTCTGCCTCAGCGTTATCTAAATGATCTTGATAGTGCTCTGATACCTGTGATCCATGGTGGGACCTCCAACTCTAGTTTACCATTAGAAATAGAATTAGTGTTTTTCATTATAGAACATCTTTTTTAGTGAAAGATTGAGCCATATTATATATTGCAACCTGATTTGTTAAAACTAACTCCAGCACTAAAGCTGAAATGCCACAAACACTAAAAGTATAAATATGTCTGATTTTTGAAACACGTAAGCTTTGCGCTTTAGGCAGGAATGAGCTTTTCAAATCATTAGCACAATATTTAAATAGCTAAAAGTTTAAAAGATCCATGATTTTTGAAGCTTTACAATTAATTTAAGTACTAAAAAGACAAGGATTTCTTTTAAGAAATTTGTAGCATTTACTGTGTTATTTAAATGCTAAGCCAAAGTATCTGCACTTAGGTATACCTCTTTATGTCAATGATGATTTTAATGAAGGCTCTCTTCAGATGTAACCTTATGAAGGAAATGTCTGTTTTCTGTATATGCCAGTTAGAATACTGGTTTCTAAAGTCTGTCAAAATTGTATTTCAGTGGCACAAAAACCAGTTTTGAAATCTTAGACTTGTAATTCTTTGAATAAAGCTGATAACTTATTTGTATAATTGGAGTGGAGACCTACCTCCATAATTAGATAAACTCTTTTTAGATTAAAAATTTGCCTTTTTTCTTCTCAAATTATACATATATATGTATTATATATCCATATATATATAGTTTTTCCTGATTAAATGGATCTTAAAATAATGTGGGTGCTTCAGGATTTTTTGCTTCTATATTTAAGTATATTGTTTTTATAGCAAGAACATATTATTCTGAATGTGTTTTATAAAACTTTAATAACTTGTATATAAGCAATATTTTTGTATCATAGTACATTATTTTTTTCCTCCTTTTCTTCCAAAGTATACCATTGTATTTACCACTTATGAGTGTGACTGTCGACAGGCCAGATGACCCTTGAAGTAGACATTATGTAGCAATAAATGAAGCCTGAAACAGGTTTTTTTACTTCCACTTTAATCCTTAGATATTTCTTGGCAACTCCGCATATTTTCATTGACACCAATGTTAAGTATAAATTTAAATGAACTAATTACTTTTGCATATTTTAAATTGTTTATATGGTAGTTATTTTTTATAACAGGATATTAACATAAGTTAAATTCTATGTATTTGAAATTGTTACAGAGCTTTCCTCTTTACTTCAAACAGCAAAAAAAGGGGAGCATATTGTAGTCCTGTCATTTAAGTTATATAAAAAATTTAATCATTATTTTGATGCTTTAAACATTCTTATGTGTAATATATGTTTTTGTATCAAAAACACTCATATATTTCAAGAAAAACTATGCTAAATAACCCTGTTTTAAGAAAAATATTTATGAAGCATCTCAACTTGAAGATCAAGTCAGAGTTATAACTCAGGATTTAAGGTCTCAAGCTAGGAGAGACTGAGAATGTTCATCAGTTTGGGCATATAGTTTGTACTGAATCACATCTATAATACTAGCCAAAGACAATTGGGAGGAGGATATCAGCCTTCTGAAAGTGGCTAATTCATGAACAATGTAAAGTGTTGCAGATATTCAATAAAATGGCAACCTGTTATAATTTGTGAAATTTATTGAAATGGTGTAAGATGAAAACCCAATTTATGTTTTCTTAATATAGTGTACATATTGTGCCATGTAAGTAATTGCACAGTCTTAAAATAACCAAATGGTGCAGGGCTCTTCCATGATGGGATAGCTTTAGATTTGTTTTCATAAAATCTCAACATTCAATAAAATTTGGAATGATGTGCCTCAAGTTTGGAGGCACATTTTGAAGTATTCTTTGCAGATGTATATATAGTATGTTTCTGAATGTGTTTGTTACTTATTTGGTCATTGGTACTTAATTCGAAATTTTAGTTTTTTAAGAGTGAAAAAATAGAATCGTTCTTTGTACTCAGTCTGCAATGATCTATTTTTGGCTTATCTTTTAATACTACTCTCTTTCTCTGAATTTTGAAATATGAAGTAAAATCTAGCCCATTTGTTTTATGCAGCTATTCAACAAATTTTGTGTGTCTGTATACCTGATACATGCAGAACACTTTACGAGGTTTTTAAACAAAAAATTTTTAAAGCGATTAATTGTTCTGACAGAATTAGACATGGTTCTTTATAAACATTCATGGATTCCATGCCACAAGTAGTATGTGCTTAAGTGCAGAGCATGCCAAGAGAAAGATTAGGATTTGGCCATGTAGGAACAAAGATGCAATTGTGGGAAACTTCCTGTTTCTGAAATTTGCGTGCTAGGATATTTACATCATGTTCCTGTTGATTAAAATACAAGAATAATCTTAAAACATCAAAGAGACTTTTCCAGACAATAAGGAATGCCTAGTCCAAAAGTAAAGAGAATAAGAGAAGTGAGCATGGGCCCCTACTCTGACAACCTTTATGAGGGTTGGGGACAGAAATCAAAGTTCAAGGCCCATATATGTGAACGTAACAGAAGACCCTTCACACAATAAGCTGAGAGCCCCAAATAGTTTCACCTTTAAAATGATAATGAATCTGAGATGGAAGAACCAATGTAAAAGAATAGGCAAGTTTAGAACTGCCTTAGTGATCTAAAGAATCCTAAGCATTGAACTTCCTTTAAGGTGTTCCCATACTGGTTATGCCTCCAGGTGACAGAGAAAATAAAATGTAAATCCTTTCCATGGAAAAGTAATTGCATTGTAGGTCTCAAATTACTTTTCAAATATGTCTAGTAATGTATAGTAAAAATTAAGTAGGCATATAAGGAATCTAGATTCCAGAGGCAAGAATTACTTGAAGCAATGAAAACAAACTCACAGACGTAGGTATTAGAGATGTTTTCTTAGTTTAAGGAAATAAAGGCAGGTTTGTGAACGTACTTGCAGGAAATGGGAAACTATAAAAAGTTGTGGAGCTAATCTGGAAAAGAACTGAATATAAACATTGCAAGAATTGTACATAAAAACTGCGCTTTAAAACTCAGTAAGTAAATGTAATAGAACACAGCCAATTGAGTAGTTTAAAAACTGGAAAATAACTCAGAAGAAACTATCCATTATGCAGCATGGAACAGCTGGAAAAAAAAACAGAAGACCTGAAGAGAATACAGTGAAAAGTTCTAACATGTGCTTCATTAGCTGTGAGAAGAGAGGCAAGAATAGGATAGAGCAAATATTTAGATAGAATGCAGAATTTTAAAAACTGATGAAAGATATACCCCACACATTCTAGAAGCCAGACAAATCCCAAACAGAATAAACTAGAAAATCTACACATAGACACATAAGGCCGGGTGCAGTGGCTCACACCTGTAATCCCAGCACCCTGGGAGGCCAAGGCAGGAGCATCACTTAAGCTCGGGAGTTTGAGGCTACAGTGAGCGACAACATAGGGAGACACTGTCTCTACAAAATAATAATTAAAAAATAGCCAGGTGTGATGGCTTATACCTGTGATCCCAGCTACGTGGGCACTGAGGAGGGAGGATCACTTGAGCCCAGGAGGTTGAGGCTCCAGTGAGCTGTGATCATGCAACAGAGCAAGACCCTGTCTCAAATTTTTAAAAAAGGTAAGACATTTAACAGGAAAATTGAAAATACTAGCTGACAGAAAAGGAGTCCAAGGAACAATTTGCTCTCTCTAGTCAGAGGACCAGAAAGGAGGTTGGAGGCTTTTTAGTTTAATTGCACTATTCCAAGAGAGCCTCAGGAAAGATGCAGTAAGACCCACCTCCCCACCATTGGAACCATGGGTAATGACTTGGAACATTCTGGACTTTCCTTGCTCTACGTCAATCCAGCAGCAGTAAAAAGGTATCACTCTTCCTTTCCCCCTGGTGCTCTAGCAGCAGACATTGCAGGACAGAACACTGGCAATGGTGTAGGGAGGCTAAAGCCCTGACTTTCTAGCCAGAAACCAAGAATGGGGTTCTAGAAACCAGAGTATAGGTAAGATCACAAATAGGAGGGAACTGAAGAAAAGGAACCCTTAAATCTGTGAATAAAATCCTGGTATCATCTAACCTGTGTATGTGTGAAACTGACCAGAAGCAGCTGAGCAAAGGTTCTGAACACTGAATTACAGTGCAGACCACTGTCCAGGTTTCAGATTGGCCACTAGATGGTGCACAACTGGGCCAAAGAACAGGTTAACAAAGGCAGTGAAAACTAACAATAGAACCACAGCCACCAAAAAAATGGCTAGGATATGTGCTCTGAAACTTAACTGGATTAATGGTCTGCTAAAACAAAACAAAAACATTCTTACAAAGATTTAAACAGGATAGAGAATCTCATAATATTCCAAATATATCCCAGAAACAATCCAAAATTACTTGACAAAGAACTAGTGAAACCTAAGCAATTCTCTAGGAAAAAGACAATGAACAAGAGCCAACTCTAAGGTTACCCGAATGTCAGAATTATCAGAAAAATACTTAAACTAGTTATTTTATTTTTTTATTTTGAGACAGTCTCTATCACCCAGGCTGGAGTGCAGTGATGCATCTTGGCCCACTGCAGCCTCTGCCTCCAGGGTTCAAGTGATTCTCCTGCCTCAGCCTCCCGAGTGGCTGGAACTACAGGTGTGTACCACCATGCCCAGATAAATTTTTTTTGTATTTTAAGTAGAGACAGGGTTTCACCATGTTGCCCAGGCTGTTCTCAAACTCCTGACCTCAGGTGATCTGCCCACGTGGCCCTCCCAAAGTACTGGGATTATAGGCGTTAGCCAGTGCACCTGGCCATTAAACTAGTTATTTTAATCATGTTCCACATAGAAGACATTTCTCCAAAGGAAATATATGAAGTCAGGGTAAACACTGTTGAAATAAATGAAGAGCTAAAAGTCTCAGCATAGAAGCTATAAAAAGAATCAAGTGGAAATTTTAGAACTGAAAATATGGCCGGGTCTGGTGGCTCATGCCTGTAATCCCAACCCTTTGGGATGCCAAGGTGGGCAGATCATGAGGTCAGGAGATCGAGACCATTCTGGCCATGGTGAAACCCCATCTCTACTAAAAAATACAAAAATTAGCTGGGCGTGGTGGCGGACGACTATAGTCTCAGCTACTCAGGAGGCTGAGGCAGGGGAATTCCTGAACCCAGAAGATAGAGATTGCAGTGAGCCCAGATTGTGCCACTGCACTCCAGTCTGGGCAGCAGAGCAAGACTTCATCTCAAAAAAAAAAAAAAAAAAAAAAAACCTGAAAATACAATAACAAAATTTACTGGAAAGTCTCAACAACAGAATGAAGATGACTGAGGGAAGAGTCAGTAAATTTGAAGATACATGACCAGAAATTATCCAGTGTCTGAATGACAAAGAGAAAAAAGTGGAAAAAAAAAAAAAGACCTTTGGGGATCTGTGGGACAATATCAAACGGTCTAATATTCATGTTAGGAATCCAAAAAGAACAATTGGAAGAAAAAATATCTGAAGAAATAATAGCTGAAAACTTCCAAACATTTGGCAAAACACTAATATTTACATACATTTACATAGCATTATTTTTAAAGCAGGTTTACTGGCACAGCAAATTCATAAAAATGTTCACACCCAGGCACATCATAATCAAAGTGATGAAACCAAGTGTAAAGAAAATATTTTGTATACAGGAGAACCAAAGATTTCAGAGATGGCAGATTTCTCATCAGAAACCATGGAGGCCAAGACAGAGGAGCAATATTTATAAAGTGCTTTAAAAAAGCACTAAAACTGTTGACACAGAATCCTTTATCCAGCAAATATATTCTTTAGGAAAGAAGATGAAATAAAAACATTTTCTTTTTTTTTTTTTTTTTAAGACAGAGTCTCACTCTGTCACCCAGGCTGGAGCGCAGTGGCAGAATCTCAGCTCCCTGCAACCTCTGCCTCCCAGTTCAAGCAATTCTCCTGTCTCAGCCTCCTAAGAAGTATAGCTGGTATTACAGGTGTGTGCCACCATGCCTGGCTAATTTTTTTGTATTTTTAGTAGAGATGGGGTTTCACCATGTTGGTCAGGCTGGTCTTGAACTCCTGACCTCAGGTGATCTGCCTGCCTCAACCTTCCAGAGTGCTGGGATTACAGGCATGAGCTACTATGCCTGGCCAAAATAAAGACATTTTCAGAAGAAGGAAAGCTGAAAGAATTTGTTGCTAGTAGTGCTCCATTAACAGAAATGCTAAAGGAAGTTCATGGGGAAGGAAGATGATTGCTAAGAAGGAAAAGCAACCAAAATGGCAAATCTCTGGATAAACCAAATAGACTTATATGTTTGTAAAAATATATATAACTGCTGAAACAAAAAATTTATAACATTATCTGATGGGATTTTCAATGCATATAGATGTAATACAGATGAAAACTGCATCCTAACCGAGGGGACAGTAAAAGGACCTATATGGTAAGGTTTCTGTATTTCACTTAAAGTGGTAAAACATTCTAATTAGATTACAAAAAGTTTGGTATGTAATGATCATCTCTTGAGCAACCATTTAAAAAAAACTATGCAAGGAGATATGTTTAAAAAGCCAACATATAAAGTGAAATTTGGAAAAATAAATAATTCAAAATAAGGTCAGCAAGGAAAACAAGTGTAAAAAAATAAGGTACCAACAAAGAAAATTAATGATAAAATGGTAGACCTAAATCCAGCTGTATCAAAAATTATACTAGGCCAGATGTGGTGGCTAAAGTCCATAATTCCAACACTTTAGGAATCTGAAGCAGGAAGATCACCTGAGGCCAGGAGTTCAAGATCAGACTGAGTAATGTACTGAGGCTCTGTATCTACAAAAAATTTAAAATAAAAGATTAGCCAACCATGGTAGTGCACACCTATAGTCCTGGCTACTTAGGAGCTGAGGTGGGAGCATCATTTGAGCCCAGTAGTTTGATGCTGGAGTGAGCTGTGATCATACCACTGTACTCTAGCCTGGGCCACTAAGCCACACCCTGTCTCTAAAATTAAAATAACTAAAAATTACATTAAATGTAAATGGTCTAAATATGGCAATTAAAACACAGCGACTGGACTTTTTATTTTTGGACAGAGTCTCACTCTGTCACCCAGGCTGGAGTGCAATGGCACAATCCCAGCTCACTGCAACCTCTACCTCCCAGGTTCAAGTGGTTCTCCTGCCTCAGCCTCCTGAGTAGCTGGGATTACAGGCTACATGTACCACCACGCCCAGCTAATTTTTTTTGTTTGTTTTGTTTTTAGTAGAGATGGGGTTTCACCATTTTACCCAGGCTGGTCTTGAACTCCTGTCCTCAAGTGATCTGCCTGTCTTGGCCTCCCAAAGGACTGGGATTACAAGCGTGAGCCACTGCATTGGCCAGATTGGATTTTTTTTTAAACCTAAATTATATGCCATCTATACAAATTACTTATGATACAATGGTACACACAGGTTAAAAAGTAAAAGGATGGAAAAAGATATTCCATGTAAACACTAAAAAAGAAAACAGGACAAAGCTGGAGTGGTTATGTTGCTATCAGACAAAGCAAACTTCAGAAAAAGGAATATCACCCTATAATTTATTTTTTAATTTATTTATTTATTGAGACAGGGTCTCATTGTATTGCCCAGGCCTAGAGTGCAGTGGCTATTCACAGGCACAATCATGGCACATTACAGCCTTGAACTTATGTTCTTAACCCATCCTCCTGCCTCAACCTTCTGGGCAGCTGGGACTACAGCTGTATGCCACTGCGCCCAGTTCCCCTGTGATTTATTATTGCATTTCATAGACTAGATACCAAGCTCAGAGAGAGAGAGTAATCTGTTCAAAGTCACACAGCTAGAAATGAAATTGGAATTTAAGAGAAAACCTTCTAGCTACTAGGACTCTCTTGAAAATGAAGTAAGCTGTGTTCATGTAGTGTTTTGTTTTGATTCTGAGACACAGTCTCACTCTGTGGCACAGGTGGAGTATAGTGTTGTGATCACAGCTCACTGCAGCCTCAACCTCCTGGGCTCAAGTAATCCTCCCATCTTAGCCTCATGATTAGCTGGGACTACAGGCACATGCCAACACACCTTGCTCATTTTTTATTTTTTTGTAGAGATGGGTTTTACTATGTTGCCCAGGCTGGTCTCAAAGTCCTGGCCTCCTCCTGCCTCGGCCTCCCAAAGTGCTGGGGTTACATGTGTAAGCCACTGTGCCTGACCTTTATTCCTATTTAAATGTCACCAAAATCAGCCCCAGACTCAAACTGGGGCCTGTGTTTCACATTCTAATTGTTATATTCTTTACCCAGTGCAGTATGTACCCTTAACTTATAAAACCCTTGTTTTGTGCCAAAAAAGTAATTAGATTTATTTTTACCATAAAATTTCCGAACACTCAAAAGTAAAGGAAATAGTAGGATTGAAATCTATATACTCAGCCTACAACAATCCTCAGAGTCAACAATATCAAGATTTGCTTGTCAGGGTCCAACCGGCATACCCTGACCCAGTGACAGATGAACAAATTCACTCAAACACAAATCTCCACTGTAAGATGGGGCTGGGGGTCTGTGGCTACTTACAGATACTCCTGAGAGAGATCACAGCTACAGTCCCAAACAACTGGTACTCTAGGCATTTATTTAGTATAGATTTAATAACAGAGGCTCTGAGTCAACACACTTATGGATAATAATTAAAGGCCAGGTTTTGAGGCCTAAAGAAAACACCATTTGCAGGTGATAATTCTGGTTGCCCTCCCCCTGAGAGAGCCATCTGGCCCATGAAAGATTAAAGGTTGGTTTTAGGACCATATGAGTAAATAAGTTATTCAGATAAACTCCTCCGCATTCCCTAGTTATTTGCTTTTCTTTATCACTAAAGGTAAAGGGGATTAGGCTGCCTTCAGCTGAAACTTCTACTGAAACTATGCAAACCTCTCAGCCTTCCAAGAAGATTTGTGACTATATTCTATAATTTCACAATCTTTCCAATCATCCTGACTGATCTCCCACATTGCCTCTTTTGCTTCATCCATCCCTTTATTTCTTTGCTGGAGCATTTTAAAGCAAATATCAGACATAACCTTTTATGCCTCAAACTTCAGTATGCAGCTCTAAAAATATGGACAGTGAAGAGGAATTTTAATTGAGTCAGTTATTGTAAAATATATTAAAATATTGCAGTAATATTGTGACCAATATGTCATAAACACTTTGCAAACTGACGCAGGAACAGAAAATCAAATACTGCATATTCTCACAATTGGGAGCTAAATGAGGAGACACGTGGACACAGAGCAGGAACAACACACTAGGGCCTTTTGGAGGGTAGAGGGTGGGAGGAGGGAGAGGATCAGGAGAAACAAGTAATGGGTACTAGGATTAATACCTGGATGATGAAATATTCTGTACAACAAATAATCTGTACAACCCCCATGACACAGTTTACCTATGTAACAAACCTGCACTTGAACCCCTGGAGTTAAAAAAAAAAAGACAGCCGGGCACAGTGGCTCATGCCTGTAATCCCAGCACTTTGGGAGGCCAAGGCAAGTGGATCACTTGAGGTCAGGAATTTGAGACCACCTTGGCCAACACAGTGAACCTCATCTTTACTAAAAATGCAAAAATTAGGCATGGTGGCACATGCCTGTAATCCCAGCTACTAGGGAGGCTGAGGCAGGAGAATCACTTCAACCTGGGAGGTGGAGGTTGCAGTGAGCCAAGATCATGCTACTGCACTACAGCCTGGGGCAACAGAGCAAGACTCCATCTAAAAAAAAAAAAAAGGTTTTAAAGAAAGACTTGTACTGCAATCAATACCATCAAGAAAGTGAAAAGACAACCTGCACAATGGGAGAAAATATTGCAAATATTTGCAAATTATCTGTTAAGGGACTTGTATGAAGACTATATAAAGAATTCTCACAATTGAAATGAGCACAGGATTTGAGAAGACATTTCTCCAAAGGAAATATATAAATGACCGATCAGCACCTGAAAATATGCTCAATGTTATTAGCAGCAAAATGCAAATCAAGATAATGAGGTAGTACTTCCTATCCACTAGGATGGCTATAATTAAACACGGTAACAACAAGTACTGGTGAAGATGTGGGGAAATTGGAATCTTCATACATTGCTGGTAGGAATGAAAGACAGTACAGCTGATTTGCAAAACTGCCAGTTCCTCACACAGTTAAACAGAGTTACTAAATGAACAAGTAGTTCCACTCCTAGGTATGTACACAGATATGTACACAGAAATGTGCTCATATACATCCACACAAAACTTGTCCATGAATGTTCATAGCAGCATTATTCATAAATGACAAAATGTAGAAACAACCTAAATGTCCATCAGCTGTTGAATGGACACACATAAAATGTGGTATATACAAACTGGAATTTATTCCAACATAAGAAGGAAGAAAGTACTGATACATGCTAAAACATGGATGAATTTTGAAAACATGCTAAGTGAAAGAAACCAGATACAAAAGATGAAACATATAGTCTGTGATTCCATTTACATGAAATTCCAGAATAGGCAAATTCATGAGACAGAAAGTAGATGAGTTGTTGTCTGGGGGTGGGAAGGGAGTAAATGGAGAGTGATTGCTTTGGAGTGATGAAAAATATTTTATCTGAAAGGCTGGGTGAGAATAAATTCCCTTTGTATTATCTGTCAGGTGATGTATAGTTATCTTAGCTCTACCGCTGGCAGATTGCGTTTTTTGGTAACAGTGGCTGAAAATGGCAGAGCTTTGTTGCTAATTCTGATCACTAGTTTGGCTTCAGAAAGTCAGGAGTTAAGGAGGGCTAGAAAGACAATGGATGGGAGAACCCAGTTGCTGGGAGCGTTTTTCTGAGTGAACGCTGGTAGAGAGACAAAATAGGGGAGAGAAAACTTCCAGTTATTAGCTCGGTAATCTTGTGCAAACAGCTTCTTTTTTTTTTTTTTTTTTTTTGAGACAGTCTTGCTCTGTGGCCCAGGCTGGAGTGCAATGGTGTGATCTCAGCTCACTGCAACCTCCACCTCACAGGTTCAAGCCATTCTCGTGCCTCAGCCTCCCGAATAGCTAGGATTACAGCCGCGCACCACCACGCTCGGCTAATTTTTAAATTTTCAGTAGAGACGGCGTTTCATTATGTTAGCCAGGCTGGTCTCGAACTCCTGACTTCAAGCAATCCGCCCACTTTGGCCTCCCAAAGTGCTGGGATTACAGGCATGAGCCACCGTGCCGGGCCAAAAACACTGATTTTTATCAGTAACGATTCCACATCCTTTTAGGATATTACTAACATTTAAAGGAAAATATATCCAGCTTTGGAATTCGTACCCCACTCCAACAACTGCTTTCAATCAGAGTTCCATCCTCCGCCGCAGTATTCCCTAACGCAGCGTTGTCTTCAGAGCTACAGCGGCCTTCCGAAATCGGTCCGAGGAGCGCTTGGCAACACCAGCACAGCAGAAAGGCGCGCAAGCGAACCTGGAACGCCTGCCTCTGCGCCTGCGTGTCGCGGCTCCTATTGGCTCTGCTTCGCTGGCTCCCGCCTAGCTCTTCCCCTACCCGAAGCCCGTGGTTTGTGTAGTAGTTTCCCTGTCGTCCTTGCCGGGTCCGCGGGGTCGCCAGCCGCTAGGCGCCTGCGCGGACGGCGGGCGTCGTCACCATGGCAGCATCCGCTGGAAGTCCAGGTAAGCGCCGAGCGCGCGGCCTCCGTCTGGAGGTGGGGCGCTTTCAGAGCCTCCGCCGGCGGCACCCTCCCTTTGCGGGTTCCCGCGGTCCTCCTCGCTAGGGACCTGGGAGGCGGCGCGCAGAGCCGGGCGGCTGGGCTTGGAGCCCGCTCCGCACTCAGGGCAGCTCCCGAAGGCCTGGCAAGGACCTTGGTTTGCGGGGTGGGCGCTAAGGGACAGGCATTCCGGGAGGCGGAAAATGACAGGGTCAGTGTCTTTTGAGGTCTTGGTTGGAAAAAAGGCATGCGATGTTTCCCTAATCCTTAATTTCAGCCGACCGCATGGGGGCGGTCTGGGTCAGTCGGTTCGTCTTTGGGAGCTGGGCGACGCTTGGGAACGCGGACGCTGGGCGGGGCCGGCGTGGCCCCGCTGATGAGCGCCGCCTTGAAAGCTGGCAGAGCGCGGCTCGCTTGTTTCTACTTGGAATCAGGTGCTTCAACCCTCGGGCTTGCAGTTCCGTTCCTGACGGTTACAGTATCGCTTCTGTAAACTTAAGTAGTGGCGTGAGACAGCCTCAGTGACATGTTCTTTTTTCGGTTTAGTTTTGTTTCCCAATTGTAAAAGTAATACACGCTTTCACCAAGGCTGTGTAAATACAGGGTCTCTTCTGAATCAATGCAGGGTTTACACAGTCTTGGAATAAAATGTGTGTGTAAGCGAAAAATGTCCAGGCCCTGAAAAATACCATTATGGAACATTTATAAAGTATGTTAGTACATGGAAGTAGGAAAAATCCCCCAAATGCTGCTACCCACAGGCACCACTACTAACTTTTTGGTATTTTCTAGCAACTCTGACTCTTAAAAATAGAGTTAAGGTCATGTAAACATAATTTTAAAGGCCTACCTGTTCTCATTCTATCGCTGTGTCACCAAGGTTTTTATAAACATAATTTTGAATGACTGTTTTATACAGTTATATTGTACACAATTATATTGTAATTAACCAGTTTCCTAATATGGGACGTTAATCAATCGTTTTCTGTTTTGTTAGAATTCATTCTGTAATGAACTTCTTTGCATTGTTCTTCCTCGTTTATGTTTTTGGTTTGTTTTTATCTTGGACATGATTCTTGTAGCTGAAATTACTGGATCAAAGGATGTAAACTTTTTTTCTCTCTCTCTTTTTTGAGACCTGTGCTAAACAGAACATTTTCTTCAGACTACAGTTTTCCTTTTTTAACCCTCGGGCTCTTTATATGTCAGTATAAATCCTTTTAATGCCTAGTTTTTCTAAGAATCCAAAGAAATCTGGGACAAAGTTCATGCTCAAGACTTTACACCATTCTCACTCACAGGCTGTATAAATCCAGGTTCTCTTCTGAATCGATGCAGGGTTTACAGAATCTTGGAATAAAATGTGTGCGCAAGTGAAAAATGTCCCAGACTTGACAAATGCCATTTTAAAAAAAACAAATTCTCTTCTCATTACCAAGTTATTGATAAAGCAAATTCTTAACGAGATTTTTCCATTATGTGTCATTTCCCCCCCTTACTTTAAAAAAACACATTCTCAACATTAAAAAGTTCAAAAGGCACGATAGGATGTATAGTGAAAAGTTCCATCCTGGCCAGCCATGGTGGTTTACGCCTGTAATCTGAACACGTTGAAAGGCAGGAGCATCACTTGAGCCCTGGGGTTTGTATCAGCCTGGGCAACATAGGGAGGCCTTGTCTCTACAAAAATATAAATAAATTAGCCAGGTATAGTGGTGATTGACACATACCTGTGCACCCAGCCACTTAGGAGGAGGCTGAGGTGGGAGAATTGCTTGAGCTGGAGAGGTCGAGGCTGCAGTGAGCCAAGATCATGCCACTACACTCCAGCCCCGACAGAGGCCAGAGCCTTTGTCTCAAAAAAATAAAATAATGAAACAAAGTTTTATCCCTTCCCTCAACCAGTCAACTCCCCTCCACCTGTACTTTCAAAATCAGAAATGGCTGGCTGAGTCTTTCTAACACCGTATTACTCTAACACTGACTATCCTGCTTTCCTCTTTCACTTTTAAGGACCTTGCGGTTAAATTGGGCACACTTGAATAATCCAGAGTAAACTCTCTTCATCTTAAGGTCATCTGATTAGCAGCCTTAATTCCGTCTGTAACCTTAATTTCCTCCCTGCTATGTGACATAGCATTAGCAGGTTCCAGGGATTAGGAAGTATACATCTCTGGGTGGCGGGGGAAAGGTGGGGGGTGGGCAACTATACATTCTGTTCTCCACTGTGCTTTTTTTCCCACATAATAATATATCTTTGAGATTATCTCAGTGCATATAGAGTTGCCTTATTCTTTTTAGTGGCTGTATAATGTTCCAGTGTATGAATATACAATCATTTACTGAATCCACTGTTGATTGACATTTATGTGTTTACTTTTTTGCCATTACAAACAATACTGCAATAGATATACTTGTATGAAATGAGTTTTTCCTACAGGTAAGCATATCTGTCTATGGGGTAAATTTATAGAAGTCGAATTTCTAGGTCAGAGGATAGATGGATTACTTTTTTAAAAAACTTTTCCCATTTTAAAAATTGTTACTGATGTATAATTTGCATACTATTAATATGCAGTTTACCCACTTAAAGAGTATAATTCAGTGGGTTTTAGCTTATTCACAGACTTGTGCAACAATTACCACAATTTTAAAACATTTAAACCTTACGAAAAGCACTACCCATCTCCCACCCTTAAACACCCCAACCACTATTCTACTTTCTATCTCTGTGAATTTGCCTGTTCTGAACATTTTAGATAAATGGAATCATCCAGTGTAGACCCTCTTATGTCTGGCTTCTTCCACTTAGCATAGTGTTTTCAAGATTCATCCATCTTGTAGCATGTTTCAGTACTTCATTCCTTTTTATGGTCAAAAGTTGTATGAAAGACCACATTTTGTTTACCCACTCATTAGTTGATGGACATTTGGGTTGTTTCCATCTTTTGGGCTATTGTGAATAACGCTGCTGTGAACATTTGTGTACAAGTTTTTGTGTGGACATATGCTACATTGTCTTTAATGGTAAGTCAATTCTGGTAGTCACTTTTGGAAACTGGAAGGAACCTTAATGATTGTGTAGTCCAGGGGTCAGCAAATAGCAAACTTTCTTTTTAAATTTTATTTTCAATTGGCAAATAATAATCATATATATATGAGGTATGATGTGATGTTACACTACATGTATACATGGTGGAATGATTAAGTCAGGCTAATTAATATTCCATCTTATATATATAGTATATATAATTTACATGTATATAATTTATATAATTTATCAAAAGGTGCATCTCTGGCACCTTTTGATAAATAGAGGAAAAGGTCTCTTCTCTGCCTTTGCAGCTTTTTACTGGCAGGATATAGTAGAAGCAAAACCTGAACTAGGTCTGCTAGATGGAGACCATTAGCCAATCACAGGAGACCAAAGTCTGGTTGTTAACTATAGGGTCCAGCCCTATAGGGTTCTGTGAGCCCCTCCCTGCTGGTGCAGAGACAAGAAACTGTAGAAATGAAAGACACAGACTCAGAGATAAAGAAAAGAGAGTTTGGGCTCAGGGGTCCACTGCCAACCAAAGCGTGGAGACCTGCAGTGGCACGGAGTGCCCAGATACTCTGACTTTAATCGAGTACAAAGCAGTGGGCAGGGAAGGTAGGGTGAGGTAATGGTGGTAGGTGATAGGGTCAGGTAAGTCACGTGTCTTGAAGATAGGGAGCCTAAGACTTTCAAGTAGCTGAGGGGAGGAGAAAAGCTAATGTGTCAGCGCTCTTTGCATATTTGTCAGAAATATCAAGGACACTAAGATTATGTTACTATTGTTAATTCTTATCTTTTAAGGAAAAGAGAAACCAGGTGCAGAAGCAGGGCATGAGAGTAGACATGGAACGTGACCACTGAAGCACAGCATCAGGTAGAGACAGTTAAGCCCGCAGATGTCTGCAGGCCTCCTTGACAGCCATCAGGCTTTGCCACAAGAGCATGGAGAAGCGGCGTTTTCTCCTAACTTCCCCAGGAAGGAGATGTCTCAGTCATTTTGGACATCTCCTTCCCTAGCTGGCTAAATAGCGGGTGCTTTCACAGCACTGGCACTGCCACACAGCCAAGGTGCCCTCCAGCAGCCCTTATGCTGGCATGACAGAGGGCTTAGAGCATCTTGCCTTAGGATCATTTTGTTCACAATGTCACCTCAGTTCCATGCTTCATAACCTGATAGTCATTAGTAAAATTAAAGGTTATATCGAGTATATATCTTTATGATTATAAGTAACTATAAGATTATATATGGTGATATAAAGGAATAACTATGTGCCTACATTTGTAACTCTTTTCTAAATCAGTATTTATATGGGAACAGGCTGAGGCTTCAAAACCTTGCCACGGCACTTGCGGGGTTTCCCCCCTAGAGTTAACCTATAGAACTCGAAGTTGCCAATACATAGAGATACCCTTTTTTCCTCAGACTTAAACCTTTGCCACTGATATTAATAATAAACGTATTAGGATTTTTCAGGGAAGTTTTGTACTTAGGTCCATTGTGTTTTGATAGTATTTATTGATTAATGCAGATATCATCAGTGCTACAGCTATAAAATATACCGAGCAACTTGTTAATTCTATAAGTCACAAAGTAAAGACTATTTTTTTAAAAAGTCAAAATAAAATGATATACTTAACATTTCTTTATAATGAGAACATTTAAAATCTACTCATTTGTTAATTTCGAAACATATAAGTCTCACTGTCACCCAGACTGGAGTGCAGTGGTATAGTCATGGCTCACTGTAGCCTTGACCTCCTGGGCTCAAGTGATCCTCCTGCCTCAGCCTCCTGAGTAGCTGGGACTGCAGGCACACACCATGCCCAGGTTATTATTATTATTATTATTTTTAGTAGTAGAGACAAGGTCTTGCTTCATTACCCAGGCTGGTCTCCAACTCCTGAGCTCAAGCAGTCCTTCTGCCTTGGCCTCCCAAAGTGCTGGAGTTACAGTTGTGAGCCAGCATGCCTGGAGTTATTAACTATAGTCACCATGCTGTGCAATAGATCTCGGGAGCTTATTTCTCCTGTCTAAGCGAAACTTTGTACCCTTTAACTAATATATCCCCCTCCCATCCAACTGCCTGGGCTGCGCCCCTAGCCTCTGGTAACCACCATTCTACTTTCTACTCCCGTGAGCACTACTTTTTGAGATTCCACATGTGAGACTATGCAGTATTTTTCTTTCCATGCTTGGCTTGTAAGTATAATGTCCTCCAGGTTTCTTCTCTGGACGCTCAGACTCTTGTAGACAGCAGCGTTCTGCAATCTGTTGTTACAGATGACAGAAATTTCGTCTTTTTAAAGACTGAATAGTATTCCATTGTGTATATATAGCACATTTTCTTTATCCATTCATCCGCTGATGATACTTTGGTTGTTTCCATATCCTGGTGGTCAGCAAACTTTTTCTGTAACGAACCAGATATTAAATTTTGGGCTTTGCAAGAGGTTAATTTCTGTTCCAACTAATCAACTCTGCTGTGGTAGCTGGAAAACAGCCACAGGTTGCACGGGGAAGGAGGTTGGGATAAATAGATGGAGCGTAGAGGTTTGGAGCAGCAAAACTGTGATTCTATATGATATTGTAATGGTGGATACATGCCATTGTACAAGCGTCCCTTGTTTTGTTGTAATTCACTTTATTGTGTCTTGCAGATAATACTTTTTTTTTTTTTTTTTTTTTTTTACAAATTGAAGGTTTGTGGCAACTTTGTATTGAGCAAGTCTATTGGGGCCATATTTTTCAATAGCACGTGTTCACTTTGCATCTGTCACATTTTGGGAATTCTTGCAATATTTCAAGTTTTAAGATTATCATATTTATTATGGTGAGCTGTGATCAGTGATTCCCTGCCCCTACTGGAATAAAGAATACTACATACACTTAGTTGTTAAAGCAGAAACAGAGTTTGAGAGGATTGGCTCCCATTTTGAAAAGTTCTCCTGTGGGTAAAATGCTATCAAACAACATTGTGTGCTACAGAGAGAGCTTTCATGAAAGGAAGAATCCATTGATGTTGATAACTTTATTGTCTTATTTTAAGAAATCGTCACAGCCACCCCAGGCTTCAGCAACCACCACCCTGATTGGTCAGTTGCCATCAACATCGAGGCAAGACAAAAGATAACAGCTAGCTGAAGGCTCAGATGATTGTTAACATTGTTTTAGCAATAAAGTGTTTTTAAATTAAGGTGTGCACACTTTTTTAGACATAATGCTATTGTACACCTACCTAATAAGCTGTAGTATAACAGTGTAAACATAACTTTCATATACACTAGGAAACCAAAAAATGTGTGTGTGACTTGCTTTATTGTGATACTTTATTGCAGTGGTCCGTAACTGAACCTGCTGTCTCAGATGTACACCTACACATTTGTCAAAACCCATTGAATATATGACACCAAGAGTGAATTCTACTGTAAACTGTGGACTTTAGCTAATAACAGTATGTCAGTATTGGCTCGTTTACTCTAACAGACATACCACACTAATGCAAGATGTTAAAAATTGGGGAGCTTCAAATAAAAGCAATTTCTTAATTACGAAAAAAGCAAAAACCAGGGAAATTGAGGGGAAGAGTGGGGATAATATGGGAACTTTGCGCTTTTTGCTTAATTTTTTTTTTTTGGAGACGAAGTCTTGCTCTGTCGCCCAGGCTGGAATGTAGTGACATGGTCTGGGCTCACTGCAACCTCTGACCCCAGGGTTCAAGCTATTCTCCTGCCTCAGCCTCCCGAATAGCTAGGACTACAGGTGTGAGCCACTGTGCCCAGCCTAATTTTTTCTGTAAATGAAAACTGCTCAAAAGGCCAGGCCAGGAGTTCAAGACCAGCCTGGCCAACATGGTGAAAACCCATTTCTACTAAAAATACAAAAAGCAGCCGATGTGATGGCACATGCCTGTAATCTCAGCTGCTTGGGAGGCTGAAGCACAAGAATTGCTTGAATGCGGGAGGCAGAGATTGCAATGAGCTGTGATCGTGCTACTGCACTCCAGCCTCAGTGACAGAGTGAGTCTCTGTCTCAAAAAAAAAAAAAAAAAAAAGTGCTCAAAAAACTCAACCTTAAAAAAAAAGTTGCAGCTATTTTTGCCTTTCTCTGGGCCCTGTTTTTGGAGTTACAGCCTGTTTAAATAATAATACTAAGACCCTAGATCATAGGTAATTAATTGGATTCTCCTTAAATTTTAAGATATATACAGTTGTGGCTTAAATACAAACTAAATATTTCACTTACTAAAAGGATAAGGAGAACATTTAACTTTACAGGTTTTTAAATTCTAGAGTCATAGTATTTTATTATTACCTTGTAAGTTGCCTTTATAGAAATTCTGAATGCAGTATGTTTAGTTGAAAAGTGCTGTGGAAATATCCAATATGAACCATTAACTAACATTTAGGTATTTCTGGTAATATGCATACTTACCATTTCTCTAAATCATTTGACATATCTCAAAACCTTCATTTTTAACAGCCACATTTCTATCATGCGTATATACTGTGATTTAATTATTTCCCTATGGTTGGACATTTGTTATAGCCAATTGATAATGTGCCTAATTCTAAAATGCCTACCTTAATATTTTAAAGAATGACGGCCTTGTGTTGCCATTTCAGTCTGAAAGGTCTGTGACTCTATTACATATGCCAAATAGGGCCACATGTTTTGGGTGGGAGACTGCTTTGGGGATAGTGGATCCTCCACCTAACTTTCCTTTTTTAAATTATTCTGCAGCCTAGTATTAGAAGTGATTGCTAAGTCCCATGTACGTTAGTTAGAATTTGTCTTTATATGCCCCTCCATTCTCTGGTCAAATTTTAACTTTTCTCAATATCTTATCAGCAGTTTCCGATAGCCATCTGTAGATTTTAGGTTTTTGGTTTTTTGGGGAGTTTTTAAAAAAGATGTTAGTTCATATCTTTTATTAACTCGTACACAATTACTTATCTTCTGATTTGTTGAAGCGGTAAGTCAGACATTTACCACAATAATGTCTGTCAAAGTGGTTTGCCATAAACACTCCAGCACCATATGAGGGGCACTCTCGATGAAGGTGACTAATTTTGCCATTCTCATCCACCTCATAGTATTTCAGGACAGCCAGCTTCACCTTCTTTCTCTCAGGCTTATCATTCTTGGGAGTGGTGTAAGGCTTCTTCCTGTTCTTGGCACCACCACAGTCTCAACCCAAGATGAAGAGTAGACTCCTTTTGAATGTTGTAGTCGGAAAAAGTATGTCCATCTTCCAGTTGCTTACCAGCAAGGATCCGTCTTTGCTGATCAGGAGGAGTTCCTGGATCTTGGCCTTTACTTTTTCTGTTGTGTCCAAGGGTTCAGCTTTGAGGGTGGTGGGCTTCCCCGGAAGGGTTTTTACGAAATCTGCATTTTGGTGGCATCTCCACTGCAGATAGCAGATGGAAAAAAAAAAAGAAGGAGAGGCAGTTTTAGGTTTTTAACTGTTGTTAGGTAGAGTTAACAAACAAATAATTAACAGAGGAAAGATTCTCATGCATGGGGAATTTGCAGCCACTTGCTAGGCTCTTAATAAATGTTGAAGCATGAACAACGATTAGGGAGGTAAAATTATGGACAACTTTTTTTCAGTATTTTCTTCTTTTTTATTATTATGTTATGATATAGCGTGGAGTAGATCTGGGTTCAGATATTTTTGTTACCACTTACCTTAGTCTTGGTTAACTCACAAATTTCAATGCTTAATTAAGAGAAAATATGTTATGTCAAAAATTAGATAAAAGATGAGAATTATGTATCTTGTACACACTAGATAAACTTATGAATGCTAATTCAAGAGATTACGTGGTCACTCAAGTAGATGTTGCTGAGAATCTGAAGGTGGATATGCAGTAAAATACGCAATTTAAATTCTAAGTTGTTAATATAAATATAGAAGGGGGCTTCAGGTAGAGAAAACAATTAAGTTGTCTGAGACTTAGAATTTTAAATATAGTTTTGGCTTTACATCAGTTTTCCTTATATTTCTGAGACCAGGATTGTAGAGAACATCATATGAAATTTCCAGCTTTTAAATATCTGCTTCTTACCAGTTTTATTTTCTTCCTACATTCTTATGCTCCTGATGTTCAGACTATCCTGTCTACTAATTATTATATAACATAACATATAACATGTTTATATACTATATATTTGCCACATCATAATACCTGTTCTCTATTTTTGAAATCTTGTATTTTTCCAAGTCTAACTACTTTGTTATTATCCTTTAATATCTCGTCTGCACTTTGTTTTTTGTTTGTTTGTTTTGTTTTTTACCCCATAACTCAGCAATCCCTTTTCCAGGCATATACCCAAAGGAAATGAAATCACCACTTTGTAAAGATGTCTGCACTCCCATGTTCATTGCAGCATTATTTACAGTAGCCAAGGTATGGAAACAACCAGTGTTTGTTGATAGATGAATGGATAAATAAACTGTGGTACACAGGGAAAATGGAATATTATTCAGCCCTAAAGAAGAATGAGGACTTGCCATTTTCCACAACGTGGATGAACCCAGAGAACATTATGCTAAGTGAACTAAGACACAGAAAGACAAATAGTGCATGAGCTCACTTATATGTGGAATCAAAAAAATTCAAATGTAACGGAAATAGAGAACAAAGCAATGGTTAGGAGAGAGGGAAGCAGAGGAAATGGGGAGATGTAGGTAGAGGATACAGAACAGTTATATAAGATGAACAAGTTGCCTCTTTTTCTGGCTGGAACCATGGAGGGCATAGAAGAGAAGAAGGTTCCTGCTGTGCCAGAAACCTTAAGAAAAAGTGAAAGAATTTCACAGAGCTGAAGATCAAGTACAGGAGAAAGAATTTCGCCCAAAAGATGCTTTGAAAGGCAAAGAGGAAGCTATCTATGAAAAAATAAAGCACTATCACAAGGAATATCGGCAGATATACAGAACTGAAATTCAAATGGCTAGGATGAGAAGACAAGCTGGCAACTTCTAGGTACCTGTAGCACCCAAATCGGCATTTGTCATCAGGATCAGAGGTATCAATGGTGTGAGCCGAAAGGTGTTACAGCTTCTTTGCCTCTGTCAAATCTTCAGTGGGACATTTGTGAAACTCAACAAGGCTTCAGTTAATATGCAGGGGGTATATATTGCATGGGGGTACTCAAATCCAAAGTCAGTAAATGAACTAATCTATAAACATGGTTATGGCAAAATCAACAAGAAGTGAATTGCTTTGACAGATAACACTTTGATTGCTCAATCTCTTGGTAAATATGGCATCATCTGCATAGAGGATCTGATTCGTGAGATCTGTACTGTTGGAAAATGCTTCAGAGAAGCAAATAACTTCCCATTGCCCTTCAAATTATCTTCTCCATGAGGCAGAATGAAGAAAATGACCACCCATTTTGTAGAAGGTGGAGATGCTGGCAACAGGGAGGACCAGATCAACAGGCTTATTAGATGAATGAACTAAAGTGACTACCATGGTTATTTTTCTAAGCTGATCAGTTAATAAACAGTTCCTGCTCTCAAATTGGAAAAAAAAAAAAAAGATGAACAAGTTGAGATCTAATGTGCAACATGAGGACTCCAGGTAATAAAATCGTACTATATGTAAGGGATTCATGTTAAATGAGATTTTAGCTGTTCTTGCAACACACACAGAACATAGGCATGTGAGATGATGGATATGTTCATTTGCTTCACTATAGTAACCGTTTTACTATCTATATATAGCACATAACAGCATATGTATATCTTAAATATACACAATGAAATTAATTTTTAAAATTTTTACCCTATAGAAAACAATATTACTTTTCATGTAAATACTGTTGTTTTAGGATCGTGGAGTGAAAATATACTGGAATATTTTCAGAGAAATAACCAGATTACCACAGAAGATGGCGCTGAGATCACCTGGTATCATGCAGCTAACCACAAGGCACAAATGAATGAGGCACTGAAAAGTAAGTCAGTACAGTTACTAGTAATTTACTTTGGATAATAGATTAATTCAACTCCTTTTTGATGTCTAGTTATATTTGCAGATACTAGGAACAGGTGATCCAAGTGTAAGTTCCAGGATGACATAAGTATTTTATGTATTTATTTTTATTTAATTATTATTTATTCATTTTTAGAGACATGGTCTCACTCTGTTGCCCAGGCTGGAATACAGAGGTGTAATCACAGCTCATTGCAGGCTCAAATTCCTGGACTCAGGAGATCTGTGAACCACCACACCCAGCTGAACATTTTTATAAAGTGTTTCATTTTGTTTACAATGGATAAATTCCATAATGGAAGAATTTTTTTTTATTTTCCAGAAGCGATTTGCCTGTTATGTCTGATTCGAAACTCTAATACATTATTATATTTTCTTAGGTATCTAGTGATTTCAGTAAAACTTTTAAGATCAGGACCATGTATCTTTCATATTTTTATGTCTTCCATTGTGTGCTAATAAGAAACTCACTCATTATTTGTTCAATGGATGAATGGAGTATACCAATTTATGATTACTAAATAATTGGGCAATATTTATGCCTAAGCCAGAAGTCTTTGGTTTATTGCTTCAACCTGTAATCATTGCATGCATATTCCTTCAGTATACAGATGAACATTAAAGCAGTGTTTCTCAGCCTTTTCCTATAAAGTGCTCGTATTGGCTGCAGCAGGAAAGGAGAATGAAAGCATATCACCATAGGGCTGGGGCAGAGCTTGCAGTGCCTGGTCCAACAGGAAATTTACCTTGAAGTTCTAAGTTTTATTGTAAAAATTTATGCATTTTTGCATCCTAGTCCATTATATATCTGAGCTCTTTTATTGTCAAAACACTGTTTTTAAATTGTCTTTTTCTCCTCAAAAGGAAGAACTTTATCTCATTACATATTGAATACCTAATGCCTAAAACCATGTGTAGCATATAATAACTACACAATGATTATTTAGTAAATGAATTTTAGCAAAATTGATGCTTCAGGAAACAGTTGATTAATGGCTGTAAGGCATCAATGCTAATGAGTACAGGGTTTCTTTTTCGGATAATGAAATTTTTCTAGAATTAGACAATGGTGATAGCTGCATAACCTTCGGAATACACTAAATAAAAACCACTGACATGTTCACTTTAAAAGGGTGAATTTTAAAGTATGTAAATTATGTCTCAGTTTTTAAAAACGAAAAAAAGCTAGGAAAGGAAGGAATGGAACCATTATTCCCAGACAATGTGATTGTGTATAGAGAAAACAAAAAAGATTATATAGATAAATGATCATAATAAATAGGTGAATTTAGAAAATCTCAGGATATGGTCAGGGGTGGTGGCTCATGCCTGTAATCCTAGCACTTTGGGAGGCCAAGGTGGGTAGATCATTTGAGCTCAGGAGTTCAAGATCAGCCTACGCAACATAGTGAGACCTTATCTCTACAAAAAATGGAAAAATTAGCCAGGCATGGTGGCATGTACCTATAGTCACAGCTTCTCGGGAAGCTGAGGCAGGAGGGTCAATTGAGCAATTGAGCCCAAGAGGTGGAGGCTGCAGTAAGCTGTGATTGCACTATTGCACTCCAACTTAGGTGACAGAGTGAGACCTTGTCTCAAAAAAAAAAAAAAGAAAGAAAGAAAGAAAATCTTAGGATGCAAGGTCAAAATGGAAAATAAGTTCTGTTTTTCTCTTAACAACTGAAAATCCAGAAATACAACTTTTAAAATTGTGCAGTTTGTATAAGAATTGTATATATAGCCCTTTTGGCTCTCTGAGCAGCACCATGGTGGATGGCAAGAACAAGCACCTTATGAAAGGTGGCAAAAAGGGAGCCAAGAAGAAAGTGGTTGATCCATTTGCTAAGAAAGATTGGTATGATGTGAAAGCACCTGCTATGTTCAGTATAAGAAATATTGGAAAGACGCTAGTCACCAGGACCCAAGGAACCAAAACTGCATCTGATGGTCTCAAGGGTCAAGTGTTTTAAGTTAGTCTTGCTGATTTGCAGAATGACAAAGTTGCATTTAGGAAATTGAAGCTGATTACTGAAGATGTTCAGGGCAAAAACTACTGACCAACTTCCATAGCATGGATCTTACCCATGACAAAATGTGTTCCATGGTCAAAAAATGGCAGACAATGATTGAAGCTCTTGTTGATGTCACGACTACCAATGGTTATTTGCTTTGTCTTCTCTCTGTTGGTTTTACTAAAAAACACAACAATCAGATACGGAAGACGTCTTATGCTCAGCACCAACAGGTCTGCCAAATACAGAAGAAGGTGATGGAAATCATGACCTGAGAGGTGCAGACAAATGACATGAAAGAAGTGGTCAATAAATTGATTCCAGACAGCATTGAAAAGACACAGAAAATCCTTGCTCATCTATTTATCCTCTCCATGATGTCTTCGTTAGAAAAGTAAAAATGCTGAAGAAGCCTGAGTTTGAATTTGGAAAATTCATGGAGCTTCATGGTGAAGGCAGTAGTTCTAGAAAAGCCACTGCAGGTGAGACAGGTGCTAAAGTTGAACGAGCTGATGGATATGAACCACTAGTCCAAGAATCTGTTTAAAGTTCAGACTTACAGTAGTGGCAAATAAAAAGTCTCATTTGTGGAAAAAAAATAGTATATATAAAGCCTTTTTTCTATCATAGCCTGAGGATGGTGAAAAGTTACTTTTGCTCTGCTGAACAGGAGTTGGCTATGCAAGGCAAAGTCTGGCCATGGTCACAAACTGGAGCTCCTGTGGGTGGGATAACATATGCCTTGATAGACAGACATCCTCCTCTGGGCCTCCCTGTTATATGAGACTATTAGAACCATGCAGTCTCCCAAGCAGAAGTGTGCCCTGACTTTCAAAAGTCCTCTAACCACAGGCTGTGGATGGGAGAGTAGGGAGAGGGGCTAGGCAGCTTCTGTATCTGTGTCTCCAGGCCAGGCCTCCCTATCTTGTTAGGACTGTTAATATTAGACTATCCAACTGCTTATTGATGTTTGCACTTAGAGATCTCTCATGTGTCTCAAATTTACATTATTCGAAATGAGATGAGATTCTTGACTATGTTTACTAACCTGCACTTCCTATGCTCTTTCCTGTCTCAGGAAATGGCACCACAGTCTACTTAGATGTTTCAACCAGAAATCTGGGAGTCATTTATTCTCTACTTTGTTTATTCTTGTATCTGATATATCATCCAATCATTTTGATTCTATTCCAAAATACATTTTGAATTAGTCCACATCTTTCCATCTTTCTTATCATTATCCTAGAAGCCACCAGGATTTCTTGCTCTTACTGCTGTAGTTTCCCATCTTTTTCATGTAGGAGACCATAGGAACATATTTTACATGGGTCCAGAGACTCCTCGACTTGCCCATTTACTGATTTTTTTTTTCTATTTATTGGAAGTAATGGAATTAGCACATTTTGGGAGGCCACAGGGTAAGGAGTTTGGACCAGAATGGCCTATATGGTAAAACCCCATCTCTGCTCAAAATACAAAAATTAGGTGGGCATAGTGGCAGATACATGTAGTACTGGTTACTCAGGAGGCTGAGGCAGGAGAATTGCTTGTAGTTGAGAGGCAGAGGTTGCAGTGAGCTGAGATCATGCCACTACATTCCAGCCTGGGTGACAGAGCAAGACTCCTTCAAAAAGAAAAAAAAAAAAAAAAAAAAAAAAAAGACTGTTACTCTTAAATGAAAGATTCCAAGCTCTTGTGACCCTTCATAACTACACTGATAAGGGAGACCTATAATCCCCTTCCCCAACTTCAACCTGGAAAAATAATAAAAGACCAGATCACCTATCTTTCTCCAAATCCATTTTCCCTGTTATCCTTACAGAGGTTTGGCCATAGGGTGAAAGAACAACTTCTCTGTATCTGCCATCCCCCTGGCAAGATGAACCAAACAAACATCAGGACTCAGCACTGTTCACATGATTGAAGAATTTCGCCTTTGGCAGAGGGCTGGAAGCTGTTTGGATAGTACCTGGACATTGCTTAGAATTGCATTTGATAGAGAATAAAAGGAGTATAAAACTCTGATTGGTCTTGGTGTTTTGGTGTTATATTTTTCTATTATTTGTAGAAAGGCTGGTCTCAAACTCCTGGCTTCAAGCAGTTCTCCTGCCTCAGCCTCCCAAAGTGCTGGGATTATAGGTGTGGGCACCACACCTAGCCATTTTGTTATTCTATGCTTTGCCTCACTGTAATTAAAAGAGCCAAAATATGGTCTAGCTTAGAGAAGAGAAACAGCAAACATCCATTGGGTTCTTACTGCATCACCAGTCCCTGTTCTTTCTTCCTATAAGAACTTTTTGTTTTTTTGAGACGGAATCTTGCACTGTCACCTGGGCTAGAGTACAATGGTGTGATCATATGATTCTCCTGTCTCAGCCTCCCAAGTAGCTGGGATTACAGGCTCATGCCACCACACCTGCTAATTTTTTGTATTTTTAGTAGAAACAGGGTTTCACTGTATTGGCCAGACTGGTCTTAAACTCCTGACCTCATGATCCTCCTGCCTCGGTCTCCTGAAGTGCTGGGATTACAGGTGTGAGCCACCTTGCCTGGCCAAGAACATTCCTTTTATTAAGATATCCATTTCCGCTCCATACAAGCTTATGGAAACTGATTCCATTTGTAGCTCCAGGGGTGGATTAGAGTAGGTTAACCAGCACTTGAAGTTTTCCTGATGATTCATATCGCTCCCATGGTGGGCAAGTGATCAAACTAGGCTCAATTAGACTCTAGTAAAGTAATTATATCTATACTTGCCAAAGAAATTTTATATCTTAAAATTGAAATATGTGAACATGAAAATATGTAGCCCCAGTGGTTATTGGTAGCTGTCTTATAATCATGAGTTGAAATTAGCCTTACAATAAAGACAGCACCAAGGACAGTGAATAAAAGAGACAAAGATCCTGGTAACATCAGTGAGCTACTGATTGTACCACACTTAAAGCTC